CCTGTAGCTAGAACGAAATGCTTTCTTGCTGGATCAACGAAAATCATGCTTAACAACAAAATTCACGACGTAACAAACGTCATTTTGGAACGGATTATTCAATTTTTGTGCATCTTCTAGTTTTGCACAATAACTTGTTTGAAAATTTGTACAAAAACTCCCAATAAAAAGTTGTGGTTTGAATTGGTTCGAGGGTGAGTCTATCGTTAGGAAGCCCTCCCATTTGTTGCTGATGCGTCGAGTCAAGAATCCTGTTCCTTCTTACCCCATAATAAAAATAGTGTGTGAAAGATGTAAAATTCGCTTCATAGGATATTTTGAGCTTCTCAGAAGTTAATCATCTTCAACCATCAGATAGCAGTTGGAGGCAATAACGCATCCCCACGAACAGGACTTCCGAGAACAAACTCAATGATCCTTGTAATGTAATGAAACAAGAATGTCTCCATGAATATACACGCCTCACGCCATTTTCCGACTCACTAAAATTCTTCCCGGCAAAAAAAAATGTCGCCTGCTACAAATGCTTCACCTACCGACAAGAGTAGGGACTGTTTTTAACCTCAGTATGTAAGAAGACTAGGCGCTGGCTATCGGCCAAAATCCCGTCGACTTTCTTTCATTTTTGCATTTTTTTCGTTTTTCCCTTCCCGAAAATGCGCCCCGTCGGTGCTGTATGTACACAGCATAAACACGTTGCGTGGGAGCAGCAATGAAGCGAAACCCGCACGAATATGAGAATGAAAGAAAAAATATGTCGAGTCCCCCCCAGGAGCGCAAAATCTCAGTTGAATAGCTCAGAAGAGGGTCTTTGTTCTCTTGGCTCATCATAGTTGGGTAATGTACTAATGTCGGCAGGGAATCTATTTGAAAGAAGAATGTATTTTTCGATTTCGGCACTCAAAGGAATATAAGCCTGAAAAGAAACGGGATTTGGCGACGTTTTTACTTTTGAATGATGAAAAATGGTTTGAGCTGCAATTTGTCAGCTATTCGTTGACGGTGGCAGGGCGAAAATTATTTTGCAATACCGTACGTTTTGTCCTGATTTTTGGGCATGGTTGTGATAAAACACAAAGAATTGAAAATAAAAATCAAAATCTGCCAGGGGACTCGGCAGAAGCTTCAAAAAAGCAGAGAAATTTATTACAGAATTGTTCAATTTCAAATATTGCAAGTGTTGACCAGTGGCGCCTCTGCGCATTAAATCCGGGTTCAATCTCTGCGCATTAAAATACGTTCGTGATAAAGTAATTTCCATATAGGCACTTCAGAAAATAAGAGGAACCCCTCAGAAGCCAAAGGGAGGGGGGATATTGCCTCTTCAAGACGATTTACAGTCATTTCTAGTTGATATCTTTAACTCCTCTGCAGAATGCTGCTTCTAACTTCGATAATTCCCATCTGTGCATTCCTGTTAATTTCTATAAAATCGCATTAAATGAATCCAATTTTAATTGAATCAATTTTGGAAAAATGACGGTGAGCCACTTGTATTCCTAGCACAGCTTTTCGTCAGATTCAGACCCATTTTAGAAACGGGATAAAAACAATATATGCCTGCGTGGATTACTTGACGATGCAGCGACTCAAAATTTCCTTTGATCGTATACATTCCCCTGTGCGAAACACATTTAAATATATATACAGCAGCTGAAATACCTGGACTAGGAACAATTGAAACCGAGTCAGCGCTTCAATTCAGTGAAGAAATTAAAGCCGGTGCAGTTCTTCTCATTCTGGATTATTATTCTCCTACATGGATTCGTACTTCATTGAAAAAATACATTCATTTTTTGAAAAAATACTGTATATTCATTTTTCAATGTTATCATTATAGATAGGTCCTAATACTGGTAGAAGCATAAAACCTTCATTACACAGTATCCGATAATTGATTATCATTCATAAATACGGACCTTTCGGCTAAATATTTTTAGATGTTTTAGGCATTGCAGATGTCATAAAATTTAGACACTGATTCCTGTTTCTTCCATTTTCAATATTATCCGTGATATTTGATTTAGACAAAAAGTAACTCGGTCATTAGTCGGGATAAGAATTACTGTGAAACATTTTCGTGAGTAGAACAGAAATCCACCAGAAGAAAAGATTTCAAGTACTGTAATGAAACTTTGAACATTCAAGATTGAACGTGAGAAGCAATAAATCCTTTTTTAATTACTGAAAGTACATTTATTCAAGATACGGTGAAAATTGCACAACATTTACGGGAGGAAAGTCCCGTTTAATTGTTGGTACAAAATGAGTGCAATAAAGAAACTAGTCGTAAAGGAAATAAGCCGCCGAAATGCTGATTTGAGAGGCAACGATTATCACCCAATTCCAAATTTCCCCGAGGCGGAAGAAAGTGGATTTAAAAGCTCATGCCTCGGGCTTCAGGGAAGCCGAAAGCAATTCACAATTCAACCTTGAAAACAGCAACTTTTGCCATTCCCCGATCATGCAAAACCACGGGCGGGAAGTTTCTAAATTATTCCCCTGAAGGGAACGGATTCTCAAGGTTTTGGCGGAATTTAAGTATAGTCATTCCTTAAATGGCCTTTATTTACAAGAGCTGGAAAATGACGAACGAAGTTGCAGCGCAGAACAACTTCCGTTTCCCACGGTGGTTATTCGCGGAAGTCACCTTGATTTGTATGATCTAAAACGCGATATCCGCATCAAAATACTTCCGTCACCACAAGCACCTTCCTAACGGAAAGTACAACGCATACGACACTTGCGCTAGGTCAATGTCACCCGAAAACATTTTCAAGTATATTCTAAATAACCATCACTTGAAGTGTGACATTAGCCAAAGAGATTATGTCACTGAATCCAATACCTTATTCATTACCTGTTATCTTTCTCAGGCCTTGAGTAAATAAAAATTTAGCCAAGGAAATTCACATTGAACGATTTTACTACAAATATTGGAGTGAACAATGCCAATTTAGGTTTTTCGTTGAAAATAACTGGACTTGAACCCAATGAATCGTTTGCTCAAAACAATAAGAAGGCAATACAGTACTGTAATATATTCGCTATAATGATTATAATGAACAAGGGAACTACAGTATATTTATTGATGAAATTTTGAATTGGTTTATCAGCTACTGAATATTCGTTATTCACGCAAGCATCGTAGAAAAAGGCCAAATTAAGCACTGCATTTTTTCAGCCAAAAATTCGGTTGGAAGCAGACAGATGGGCAGCTATCGAATGCTTACACGTCATACAAAGTGATGGAAGAAATTTCATGAAGAAGAATCTCATGCGTATTCAGATCTCCTCAACAGCAGTTTACTATACAGGACCGTGAAAGGAAATTCGATCATTCCAGGACTGTACGATTTCAAACTCTTTTAAGACACAACAACGCTTACTTACAATGTCCCGGCCAAATCCCCAAAGCTTGATCAGCCCGGTTTCTGGAGAACATAACAAGAATAGCTTCCACAAGATGTATGAGGAATTCGAACGAATTCATGGAGAAGTGAGCAAGTGGAAAAGCAGCGACATCTACTATTCCGAAGGAAAGTTAAGAGAACGAGACAAAGCGCACAAGAGGATGGGCACACGCGCTATCAGCAGCCCGCGGATGCTGTAAGGAAGAGCTGAAACGTTTTTAAAACTTGAAAATTATTTCGGAAAAAACCAGATGAAACGGTTTCTCAATAATTAAAATGTTTTCATGACATTCTCTACATAGTGGAACATCCGGAAAAACCCTCGAATCTGAAAACACTAACACCGGGTGTTCGTTCGATCGATGCAAGGAACGCGCTCAGATTGAATAGCAGAACGCGGACGTATCCAACTGAATATGGTAATCCCGGCTACCTGAATTCCTTTCAGAGGGCTAAAAATTACAGCCGCAAGGGACCGCGTTCATCACACGTCGTGAATCCGTCTGAAAGCACACACAAGAAACAGGGGTTAATTTCACTGGTCACAGCAATTATTATTGAGTCATGCAGACGTGATTACTCCACACACACACAAAAAAAAACGAAGTATGATACAAAGGGTTCCTGATACTGGCGTACAGCACCCATTTCCACTTTCTAGTTTATCACTACGAGGAAAAGTAGTGCAGTTCAAATGATCGATTCACTACCGAAATTGCTAGGAACTTTACTAACTCGTCTTCAAGACTCTTTTACAGTATTCTTCTAACTTCATTCATGCATTTTAGTGAATTTTTTACGACTTTTCGCGAAGAATCCTCGCAAAATAATAATCAGGAAATTCGTTCAGTTCTTCCAGCGATGTTCCAGGATAAATGAATGATTTTCACGCAATATTAAAGTTGAAGTAGTGAAAATTTCACTCAATATTAAAGTTGTACCGTATTAGTAACAATTTCACGCTAGAAGAAAAAGAGAACTCCAAATTATTTCTTCGATCGAGAGTTGAGAAATACATTAGAACTGACGTAAAATACTGTATGTTGAAAAAACGTGCAAAATGAATAAATTTTTAATGCAATACACATTCTTTGAATACGTGCAAAATACATTTTTCCTCTTATTTGCGCGGAGATCAGGCACCCCACATCGTCCTGTGCATATACTACAATGACTACATGTTTCACAGGTTCCGTAAGAAAATCCCGCGGCACGAAAATCCCTTACGCCCGAAAATCTCGCGGGGCCTGAAAATCTTACACGGTAAAAAAAACCCCCGCAACATGAATTTATGCATCTGAAAAAACTGGAAATACAACGCCAACTACTTCAATATAATTCGGATCGCGGAAAATTTCCTTACGCAACGCTCCGCGATTGATTTGCTCCCAGCTTCATCACGGAATTTTGAAAATTACTCGCAATTACCGACCTTGAGTAACCAACGACTTTTACACCCGGAACCAAGTGTGTCCAAGGGATTATCATACGATATTTATTCCAAACATTCGGCAGCATATACAGGATACACTCAACACTCTATACAGTACAGCATTTCCGACAGCCTATTCAAGTACAGTACAATACTCACCAGGGATTATCGGTTTCTAATTTCGGCTTTCCCGCAACGTCCACCGATTCCTCAACCACACCAGCACTCGCAGCTCCTTCAACAACCGACACAACCCGCTGTTGTTCTTCGTCCTTCGTCACCACCGTCGTATCCCGAACGGCAACGGAGTCCAGGCTCACGTTTGACACTGTGTTCTCCACTTGCGGCGACGCAGAGGATGAAGCGCCCACTGTGCAGCCCGGATGGAAACTCGTAGGCACCGGCCCTATCCTTTCCACCAAACTCACGATAGTCGCGCCAATCGGCCTCCGCCGCAAATACACAAGCTCAAGTTCAACGCAAGCAGACTAAAGACAAGCAACCGGGCATTTGCAATCGAAGAAGAATCGTTGAAAAAGTTTGCCATGCAATAATCACGGAACTAACACAAGTACGAACGGGGATTTCTGCACTAGAAGTGGCACAGTACTGAAGTTTATGCGGGTTGGCTGGAGGTTTTGGACGAAAATATTTTCAAATTACAGTACTTCTATATTTCGCAAAGATATTCCTGGAAATTTCAGCACCATTTTAATCCAGTACAACATTAACAAGCGGACCTATCTCAAGAAGAAAGGAAATACAGTACTAAAATTTTGGCGTTCAGGTTCCATTGTTCAAACACTGCTGGAGAAGGAGGTTGGCGGAAAAACTATTCAACTGCCTCATAAGTGAACTCAAATACAAGAATACAGTACTTTGTACAGCCATCTATCGTTCCCGAAGAGATACGTTTGTTTCCCAGTACTCGTTACAAAATTTTAAACGCGAAAACTTCAGTACAGTACAACCCCTCAACTTGTCACTTCCAGGAGGAAACGCGATCAAGTAAGATAAACCTACCTTCTGAATTCGGGATGGACCATTTTAAAACAGTCCTGCGTTTTGAACTCTATTTGATTGACAAAAAAATATCGGAAAGTTATTATCCCCAGAGAACAATTGAGTTGAATTTTCCAAAATTATTTTTGAAGCTAATTTTCATTAGCAAAAACGTTGAAGCAGTTCGTCATTTTTAGCTCGAATTGATAGGCAATAAATGCTTCCTTGAGATTCGATTCGTTTTGAAATTTTGGGAGAAAAATGTTTTTTAACTTAAAAAAAAAATTGCAGGAAAACGAGGACCGCGCAAACTTGTACGGGCAACGATACACGTTATTAAAAATAACGACTGCAATGGTTGAAAGGAAGTTGCTGAGAATAGATCACAGTTGTTCTCATGCAATTTTTTAAAGATTACTGTTACAATTTAGCTGTACGATTACAGCTAAATCGTACAGAGTTCATGAACAACCAAATCATGTTGTTCGTTACTTTCGAGAACACATGTTGTTCGTTACTTTCGAGAACAGCTTGAGAATTTTAGAAATCCCTCGCAGGAAAAATTCCATGGCTTCTTGCAATAAAAAACCTTCCCAAGCAAACCATTACGTCGAACGAAGGGTTATCGCACAGAAAATTGATCTTCCACATTACCAAATTACAGTGGTAGTTATGCGGCGCACGGGTTCAGGCAGCGGTATAGCACTTGAGCAAACGAGGATAGGGTTCAGTTGAGCGAGTGTATTTTTCTTTTCTTTCGGAGAACGTTATTTTTGCCATCAACAACATGATTCCAATTCAAGTGGTCTCCAATGAGTCAATACTAGGATTTATAATGATGCTGTTTTGTAAATTGCCGTGTTTTCTCTCTAAATTTCATTCCTTAAATTGTTACAAATTTTTTTCTTTTGGGTCGCACTAAATCGTCTCAGTACATCTTCAAGAAACATAACACAAGTAGCAATCCTACATCACACACTTCCACAGAGGTTTCCCTTTTCCTTTTCTGGTATTTCTTGGCTTATTTGGCATGGAAACAAACTACGGCAGAACGACTTTGAATAATCACAGCTCAAGTCGACCACTTACATTGATTCTTTACGGCAAATCGAACATCGACACCTTGAATGAGATAAGACTCACGTGGATAGGATTTCCTGCGGCAAGTCAATTATGTGTGCGGGGATCGAAACACCGACTAGGAACTCGGACAGTTCGTTGGAGAACGTGTTGCAGTTGTGGTGCAGCAGGTGATACTTGGAGCCCCTTTGGACAGATCGCGTGCGTGCGCGGAAGAACCGGAAAGACGGAAATAAAGCCATCGTTTACTTTTGAGTCGCTTCACATCTCGGAGCCGACCGAAAAAAATCTCAGGAACCAAAATAATCTTAAGATCTTGTTCCTCACACTCAAATTGAAGGATTACATCATGAATGATCCAACGCTGTCCTTATTCTTGATGAGCTACCGTAGTAAAGTACAGTATAGTACAATTCATTTTAAAACGGAATTAATCCTAGATTCCAAGACACGGATCTTCCATCATTAAACCAGTTTTTAACATGATCTGGTTCGAAAAATACAAAACATCTAGCAGAAATTTTAGGGTCACCCGCAAAATAAGCCCCCAAAAAACAGCACGGCTGGTCAACGAAAAAAAGTTTTCTCCGTGTCCCATTTTCCATCAGATTGAAGATCTTAGGGGAAATTTTACCACAGAAAAATATTTATTCGTATTTTCGTAATCTACATATTTGTCCAAACTTTACGCCGAATTTCGAACCATACCTTTTAAAATCTATGCGAGATTACAGAAATCGCAAGGAACCTTCATTCTGTAAATTAAAATGAATACTTTGCAGTCTTTCAATCAAAGAAATACACTTTTTTCATTGTGCAGAGTACAGTACAGTTGAACTTGCATAACTTTAACCTCCATAATTCAAATACCTCCCTATCCTCCCTATATCGCATTTTTTTCAAGTTCCTTTCAGAATGCCAATGGAAACAATGCATTAAAAGCCTCCCTAACTTGAATGCTTTCCTTCTCAAACCCCCATAACTCGAATTTTCGGGGGGTCTTTCGTCCATTATTTTTTTGACACAGCAAAAAGAGAAGCAATAAAAACGTAACTTGATGTGTTTTGAAAGGAAGTGGAAAACTAATTGGGCAAATGCTGAACCTGGAGGCAATCCAGGTCAACTCATTTACAAAGCAATTAGATGCCCAGAATCGCCAATCACAATTTCCTTCAAATTTTATTTCTTTCTCCCAACAAAAATCTTTGTTTCCCTCAATCTAAACCTCCCAAACGCAAATATTTTTTACTTGTCCCTTGAAATTCTACTTGAAGAGGTTCAACGTTTTTACACGGTGAATAAACCATAGCGGCAGAAAAAGGTACTGTAACTTAAGACGCGCCCTATTTTGGAGTAACCCAGTACAGTAGCTCAATTTTCACGCAAGTTAGTGACTGAACAGGAACAAGAAACCATCAGCAGAGAAGACAAAAGAATTTGAGTCTGAACTCGCTTATCGGAAATGAATCTCGGAGCGTGACCTGGCGTCTTGCCCGGAGTTCACGAACCTCACCTGAAGCGTTCTGATTCCAACTCGGTCAAGAACTCCTGGAAAACGTCCTGTGGTATCTGTGTCTCTCCCAGGATTTCTATCTCATTCGGCTCCCCCAAAATGGTTCCTCCCTGCATAAACAAACGAACATGACGTGAGGGAATTTACGAACGATTCCGCGTCTCTTAGAAAAATGCGAAACGTCGTCGACTTATTGTACTTCGAAGCATCTCTTTCGTGCAACCGGGAGTGTGAGTCAGGAATAATCCACAGTTTGGGAGACCCGGAACGCAGATACTTTCACACTACCCAATGCCGTCGGATAAACTAAACTGGCAAGTCATTTGTTTTTGTTCTTGCTCAAGTAACAGCAGGAAAGATTCTGGATTTCATCAAACCCTTTCACGCAACTAATATTTCTTATACTGTAATACTATCGACTCTAACCGACAAATTTGTTCAAGCCGACCTTTTCGCCTGAGCATCCATTACTTCACGGCAACTGCAAAATCAACTAACGAATACTGTACAATATTTATCTAGCGACCTCGAGGAGTGCAATATTGATAGGATCTAATAAATCTTGCATTTGGAAAGCTTATGGAAATCCGAACTGAAGAACTGTGGAAGCGAACGTTTTCCGCGGTTTCCCGTTGTTTGAATCCATTTGCGGAGTAATGCTTCATTAAGGGTTCCAGATTTTCTTCCATAGGCAAACAAAAATATTTTACTAGAAAAAAGAAAAATCAATGCGATGTGCTTTTGGAAGGTGGCACTTCAAGTCCTCGATTTCAATTTAATTGAAAAGAATGAGGATAACAGTTCGTAACTCTCGCAGTTATCGTTTTCTCAATCCCAAAAACTTACTTTTTCTGGGAAAGATCTTCAAAAATTATGTTCCTGAATGAAGAAAATTACGTTATCACGAACGTAGCTGATAGCTATCCTTCAATAACACGCACAACTTCATAATTATGAACGAATCTTGGGAATTTCCTTTTTTAAATTTTTTAAAAATAATTGTGCATGTGTTGAGGAGAATATACAAATTTGCTGACACACTAAATCTTGCTCCGCATTCCATCTTCGCATCACATTCCCCTTCTTCATGAGCGGTAATAACCAGTCCTTGGGAGAATGAAATCTTAGCATTTCCCGGCGTCTCGAAATAGCACAGGGGGCTGCCAGATGAAATACGCAGGAAGATTCTTCTGACACGCGCACGGTCTCTCCGTGATGCTCACGCTCCTTTCTGTGGGGATTTACAGCTACGCCACACGGCAGGGATTTTAATTATTCGCATGATAAAACGAGACTACGTTCTGTTCTCATAAGATGTAAGAAAGCATGCGCGAAAAATTATTGTACATTATTGTCCATTACGCAACAATGAAGAAGTTGCGGTAAAACCCGTTTCCCGCGTGTTTTTCGAAAAAATTAAGCAATTCTGTATCTTTCAGCTGAAATTCTGATAATGACACGAGCTAACTCTTCAGAGAACGTTTTTTCACAATTTTCATCAGCTTTTCTTCGCACGCGAGTTACGTTAATACCCATAGAATGCATTTTTCTGCCACTTCCGACGGCATCATCATAAATGCTTGAAAAAGGGAAAATTCAAGGATTTCCCGTTCAAGGTGTTAAAATGGAAAACATTTATCATATTAAGTCTTCAAAAATCCAAGCCATCTTTAAAAAGCAAGAGCTGCGTTATAGTGTACCAGCTCGGATTTCACGATCCCTTGTTTGCCACAACAATACAGCTTTTCATAACCCAACTCTAATCGAGGTTTATCCTGTCAAGCGAACGTGAATTTATTTATTTCAATGTGAAGAAGATGCAGTATAATTGATCGAACTTTTTCTAGAACAGTTTCGAAGCCTCATTACTGTAAAATTATTAAACTTCATCAGATGAACTGCGAGTCACATAAATAATTTACTTCTAGAAGTGCTCAAATATCACGCGGGGAATCAGTCGAAAATAAAGTTATAAAAATACTGCATCATCACTCGCATAAAAAATATAAGCTTCTGAGGCGAGCGAAGAATCAATTCAGTCATATTTCATCTCACACCTCAGGCTTAAGAGGTTACATAGTCATGGCATTCTGTGAAAATGTACAAAAACCAGAAGTCCGTTTATTGCAGAAATTTTTAGGATGAGTGAACCGCAACGTACAGAAATATATTCACAGCATTTTATTTTTTCTTCCGGTGTATTATACGCTATAGTACTGCACCGTAAGTCGGGAAGACGAACACTCACAGGGTCACAAGTAGAAATCCCATGGGCTCCGAAGAAGTACTCACGTCCGTAAACTACGACGCCGGTGTGCCAAATTCCGTCAACTTGCTTTCCTAAAAATTAACAATGTATTCCATAAAAAAATTCCAGAGATTCGCGGTAACTTACCGATCAACGCTCGAGACAGTATTTTTGACATTCCTTTTGAAATGTCATAAATGTAAAGCTGAACCAGGTGTACATCATCGGGACGAAGAGCCATCGTAAAGTCCGAATTTTTAAAAATCCGTGCGTACGTTTTGCCGGCAGAACGAAATCATTACGATAAAATTTGGTTCGATGTAGAGGAAAATACCTGAATGAAAAATCGTGTTTGACTTCATTCACAAAAACCAGCCTTAAAAATGATTCGCAAGGGACAAATGATTCCCAAGCAATTGTATTCCATAATTTAATTATCGTCCACACTTCGTAAAAAATCCGATAGATTTGATCCAAATATCTTTCACTTGACGCGACGGTTTGTAGTCACGTTTTTCCATACAGAACCGCGCAACCCGCGAAAAGAGAAATAAAACTTTGGATTCATCTTCAAATAAAACCAACTCGAATCCGCAAGGAAGTCAGCGAAAAATCAGTTTCTCCCAACATTCAATCATCTAAAACCCGCCTAAACAGAAAACATATTCCTTTTTCGGCTTGTCAGCACCTTCTCCTAAACCCAAAAGAGAACAGCTACCTTCATCACAAAGAACACTAGTATTTAAACGTCTGGACACAAGAAAAAAATTAACACGGCTAAGTTTTTTTTTTCTCGATACGCTTGGGCAGCGGAATCGCTTATCACAACTTAATCAGATTCAGACAAAGCAGTTAGCTTTCAGTCTCACTCGTGTTCGTTAGTCCAGTCTTATTGCCAATGCAACCGATCAAAGCAACTGAAAATGATGAACAAGCCGTACCTCCGGGGAAAAAGTAAAAAGAACAAAACGACAACGAAACATATCACCGTCGACAATCTAGTAAGCTGCCGCATTATTTACAACACTGTGGAACCGTCAGAACGAATCGACAAACCGTGGAAGACTTATCGTCTCCCCAACAACACTCAGAATCGCTGCATCGCGCAATTCATCACAGCTTTGAAAATATAACTTTTCTTCGGCAATAAAAAGAGGGTCTTCACATTACAGCCAAATGTGACCCCGTTGGTCAGAAAAAAAAAAAACAAAAAAAACGAATGACATAAATGCTTCTGTCTGAATTCGATAAACGCGTGTCAGTGTCAACTAGCTAAGATTTGGAAAATTTTTGGTCATTGCAGAAAACCCTTAAATCCGATTCCATCCTCTCACGTCAGGCACTGAAAAAATTCGAAGATCCCGAAGGACAAAAAACTGATCCGATTCGAAGGCAGTCTTCAGAAATCATGTTCATTTAAAAGGTCGATCTGACATTTCGCACATGCTTACGAAATTTCACTGTTTCTACGGACAGACCTGAGCGACGTTTCTATAGGAGGTGAAATACGGTTCATGAAAGAATGCTTTTCTTCCTTCAGCCACAATGATCATTTGATTTTTTTTTGCATTCTCAGTTGAACGATACTTCGTTCGGCGAAAAATACTTCCGGTCAACGGGTTCAAATTCAAGTGTAACGTAAGTCTTCTCTGTAAGTTGAATACTTCGCTAAACACCCACTCACCGTTAACAAAATCCGATATCAACCTGCACGGTTAGTCGCCTAAAAATGAGAGCAAGTCTACAAAACAGAAGATTGGATAATGATGTTCGAAGGACGGAATGGCTACGACTGACAAGCAATGTCGTTTTCGCCGACACAGTGGAAAAAAAAATCAGAAGTGCACAACGCACGAGTCGTCGGATTCATTGGCAACGAGGAAAATATCAATTGTGACTTTCCCGACCGCGGGCAAAACGATCGTAGAAGCCAGCCGGACGCCCACTGCCGGCGGTCTGAGATCCGCCGACAGTTTTTCCTCGAGCTGTCACATGCCGTCGTGATGGAGCGCCACCACGATCCCTGTCAAAAAGAAATAATTTCAATTTTGATCAATCGTCAATAAAATTATCCCGATGCACTGTATAATTTGCGCACCGAACAAATGCTGAGAAACGCAATCAAGTACAATTACTCAATATCGTCGAGTCACTCATGCAAACAGAGCACAGCTATCACGAACCTCAACACGAGTACTCGACTATCAAACATTTCCATTTCGTATAAATGCAATGGGAAGCAGGATAAATTTAAAAATACTGACTCGAGCAACAGAAAACCAGTTATAGACTGTAGTGTACTCGAAAATTCTCAAAAATACCATTTCGCGCCTCTGACTTGTACAGATTTTCGCGCAAAGGGATCGAAATAACCGAGAAATACACCTACGCGGCGAACCACTGAATTGAAAAATCTAAGCGCCAGGCGGAAGAACTCAGTCGGCATATACGTTGGAATAACGAATGACTCATTCCTCCACGTGGAAATTTTTGATACCACGAAAGTTTCGGTACGCTCACGATGCCTACAACTCAAAGAACGAGACTTTGTTCAACGCAGCAACACATTCACAACCCAATTTTTCAAATACAGTAACATTGATAATAAAACTAACATTCAAAATATTGTATCAATAAGAATACGTGGACAGGGAAATTCAGCCTTATTACACACCTCGGAGTCATTTTTTCATGCTTAATTAAGCCTTCTCTTTAAATAAAACATTATTTTGATTTAAACAAGAAAGTGATGGTCGCGGAAATCTCGAAACACTATCATTAGTCGAAGATGAAGCTCACCGATATGACATTTCCATGTCTTCCAGACGTTGCGAAAGCGCCAACTTTTGCTGGATTGCCATTCGAAGCAGAGAATTTAGTGTTTTCTTTTCTTCTTCAGCCGCATGCAATCCGCGCTGCGCTTCCTCCAATTGCGAAACGTACTCTTCGCATCGTGCCGCGAACATCGCCCGGAGACCTACGAATAGGGTTGAAAAAAAAAAAGTACAGTGCTCGACCGAATAGAAAAATAAGAGAAGAGTCTTCCTTGGAATTATCAACAACTTGAAAATATCCCATAAAATTTGAAAAATATGACTCCCAGCCTAATTTTTTCAGTGAACATGTACTTCCGTGACCATTCCGTATATTGAGTGCGGTTTTCCTTCGTTGCTGTTACAGTATTTATTCGTAATGTAGAACATACTACAGTAAATATATTTATATTTCCTTTAAAAAACTGGGAAAAATTGAAGGAATCTAGGAAGGACCGGGGCATTTCATACAGCTCAACATGACTCTGCTAATAGACTTTTTGATGGCCTGAAACCAATCAGCCGTTGTATCCAGCTTTACATTACTCGGCCAAGAGACCTCATCCATCCTAAGAAAGTCCATTGTTCAAAAAAGCACAGAGAGACCACTGCAATGGGTGAATGACTTACTCGAAAATGTCGCAGCATCTTCTTTAAGGACCCTCAACTCATTCCGCAGTTTCATCATGGTGTCTGAAACCATTATTTTCTCCGCATCGTACTTGGCCTTAAGATTCGCCAACGCGCCTTCGGCAGTCTGTTTATTTGCCTTCAGCACCGTGCGCAACGTAGCGATTTGCTCTCGTTTCGAAGCGAGCAAAGATTCCAGCTTCACTGTCTTCTCCTGCAGATCAGCTAGGCTGACGGTTGTGAGGCTCTCCGGGCCAGAGGAATCCTCTGAAGGCAATTTCGCCGCTTTGCCGATTGCCTGTTCAACTACTTTCTTGAGATACTGAATTTGATCGAGCAGGGTTTCCACTTGCTGTTGGACCGTCGCTGGGTCAGTCATTATCCCTTCTTCTTCAACAGATCCAAACACAAGGCCAGATGTTTTCAACTTGCTGCGAAGTGTTTCCACGTGGCTCAGAGAAGGTGGAGATTCGGAGCTGCGATCCAAACCAGAATCGTTGGCTTCATCTGCTCCACCTGAAAACCGCGGGGAGAAAACAATGAAAACGTGTGTACCATCTCAGAAATGATGCTTGGATTGTCACTAGCATTACTGATTTATTTCAATCCCCATACAATGGAATTACAAAAATATCGTTATTGTACAATGAAGAAAAAAACGCCAGGATCAATAATCAGATGCCTTTCACAGAATAATCATGAACAATTGAAAACTGTATTTTCTCTAATAAACGCCCCAGCGTTTATTCAGAAGGTGCACCCCCAGGCGTTTAATGGAGACTGGCCTCTGTTGGAGACCAGCCTCTGTTCCTAAAAAAATTGTTTCAAGCTGGCTGAATTTTTGTTTCAAGCCGGCAGATTTTTGTTTTGTTCAAGCTGGCATATATTTTTTTTCTAGCTGACAGATCTTTCGGGTAAAAAAGTGGACAAGTTTAAATGCACAATCACTCTGTTTTTTCCTGAAACAGCCACTGTATGATTTTACTCATCACCTTCATCAGAATCAAAAATAACTGCTTCATTATTGCCCAGTTCACTATCATCTTGCTCTTCCACAACATTTCTCAAATTATTTTTGTTCTTGCTGCCATTAATTAATATTTTCCTTTGAATTAAGGCTGGTTATTTTTTTAAAACAATGAATTAACAAATTCTTGCAGCCATCAGTTGCATTGGTGATTCCACAAATTTTGAACAAGTTGTGAATCTGATCAGTTGAGATTCAATTCCATGCAACAATCATTCAGGTAAACATCAAATGCCTTGCAGGGCCTGCAAATTTCAACCTTTTCAATGGCAACTGAATGCATTAGCAAGGTGAAAAACATGAAAGTGATTCCTGTGGAATTTAGGAAGAAAGGAATGTTCTAGGGAAAATGAAAATACTGAAATGAGAGTACTTCAGGGTGGTTTCCTTCTTCTGAAATTCAGCAGACAAGGGCATTTTTTGTGAAGTTAAAGGGATTTAGGAAGATCAAGGATTGAAGAAAAATGCAGCCAAATCCTCAACCCCAAAGTAAATTATTTTCAAAGGAATTAATTCATGCTGTCAAGTCAAATTTTGAAATCACATTATTCAATTCAGAAGATACGGCCAAAACGATTCTCTGGCCAGCATAAAAAGGTATCGTTGAATGCGGGGAGTCAGAAGATCGAAAACGGAAGATATTTGTTTGTAACTCTTAATAGCAAAATGAATGTCGAGGGATAAAAGATTGAAAAAATTAAAAAGTAAATCCTAGGTAAGAATAATGCAGTGCCCAAGCGGAGAAAGAATATTAGAGAAGCTAGTGAATTAAGTTGCTTTCAAAGGAAATAATTCTTACCATCCTGCACGTTGCTCACAGCTTTCCGCTTGGACGTTTGATTCACATGCGACAATAAAATCCTACTCGGCGTTTCACCGATAGTCCCACAAACGTGATGATACAACTGGCTCAATTCCGCACTCAAGTTGTTCATATCCGTCTGGGTCTTGCCCAACGCGATCTGCCAACCTCCAGTCGTCGCGGCCAAAAGGTCCAGGTCGGACCGCAAATCTGCCGCGCTTTCTTCCCAATACAAAAGCTTTGACCGAAGATCGCCGACTTCAGCGCGCAATTTAGCCATGCCCCCACCGGCCGCGGGTTGAGCCGGTGCATTCGTGTCGGCTTCAACACCGGTAAGAGCAGAGCCCGGTGGCAAGAGACCCGACGATTTGTTCCCCATCTCGTCCATTTCCCCTTCTAGGAATGCGTACAGCTCAGAAAGCTCTCGTTTCAACAGCTGTGCTTGGCTCGCTGATATCTGAGGTAAAAGGGCAAAAATATGCTTTGCATGTACTGCAAACAATACACAACCATTTGGTTGAAACGCTCCCGACTCCGTCCTACGCGGATCAAAGTCACAGTGCCAAGAAAAATGTTACATGACGCTTCACAACATGATATTGCGATTTCTCCTAAAAAGAAGAAAGGGGGAAAATCTCCCGGAGTGGAAAGATTACGCGGAAACACTGAATAGTAAAGATCACAGGTCTCGTACGTAAGAGCACACCTACAACTCCCGAAGTCGATACAACTTCCACGATGTTGAGTAAATTTGCGGATAACCATGGGCTGAAAAGAATGCCAAGTTTCAGGTGAGCCATCGGCTTAAAAAATTATGAACTCTATAAAAAAATCTGGACTGCATTAACATAGGAAAAGAAAGAGCAAAAACTACGTCGGAAAGTTATGCTCACTTCTGTTCAGAGCAAATGGGTTTTACGAGAAAGAGCATCATTCGTTCCACTCAGTCAACCGTTAGTTTAGCTTGAATGGCAAGAAACGCCTTTCCAGACTACATAATGTAAAAAGATCCATACCCAACTCAAAAAGAACAATCCGAAACTCTAGTACGAGTTGAATAGGCGTAATGATATTGCAGTAAATGCAAGTCATTTAATACAAAAATAGATTTCGAAGAGCAGTGCGATAATGAATATATGTTACAATAGGTCCTGAAAACCTACTTGATGGTCCAGCTGAATAGATTTCAAGGCTTTCAAACGAGCAGAAGCTTGAAAAAGTCGTGCTTGTTGGAAGCTGACTTCGTTCTTCGAACCCTCTAATCGTTCTTGCACTTCCTTCAGATTCTGAGTCAACATCATTTTCTCCGTATCGGCCTGCAAGTGAAAAACAAAGAAAATATAAATGCTTCCACACACACATGAAACAGCGTTGAATATCGCACCAATTCCAGTTTTTGCTCAAGTTTCCTTAGTTCGTTCAAGTGTATTTCGGAAAATAGGTTCCCGACTGCATTATGATGGTGATGATGTTTATGCTTCTCGGGAGGTGTTCCATTCTGAGACATGGCATCCATCTCTCTATTCTTTTCTTCTTCTTCCTGTTTGAGGAAATCTGCTTCCAGTCTTTTAAGAGCAGGATTGTCTTCGGGGCTGAGTTCATCATCATCATCACTTTCTCCAGGGGAGTCATCTGTTGAACAAATAACGGTTTAGTATCTTGAACCAAGTAGAGCATCTGCAGATATTCTTTCGTATTTTCATTTTTTACATACTGTATATGTATTTTTTTTTTCTTTACACTCAAACGGGGTAATAGGATGGCTCGAAGTATCAATTACCAAGTTTCAAATTCATCGCGAGATTTGAGAAGCTGTAAACGGATGTAGAAGTAGCCATTTTTTGATCGAGTTCTTTCTTCAACGCATATTTCGCTTCACGCTCTGATTGCAAAGCTTCAAGAGCTTCTTCCATTTGCTTCTCCGCGATTCTCTTTAACGATGATAATTCCTCCAACTGCTGATTCACTATGTCAACTTCTTCCTGCAACCGTCTCAGCTCATGCTTTGCTCCTTCAAATTCCATCTTGCATGAAAAAAAAAAAAATCAGATAAACGATACACAATCGAACATTCAACCCTATCAAAACAAACCTGCGACGTCCTCAGGGTGGAGACAAGTTTCTGAAGATTGATGTTCTCCTCCTCGAGACTGTCAATGTCACCAAGCAAAGAAGCTTCTCTCGTCTTCAACTCCCTTAGATCAGATTTTATGTTTCGCTTTTCCGTTTCATGGTATTCTTTCTCACGAGCAAGCTCGTTGTTCTCGATCAGAACACGATCTCGTTCGGCAAGGATTCGATCCAGCTCTTGTTTCGTCTGCAGAATATGAAGACAAGCAAAATCATAAGGTGCTTCCCAGACGAAAATGTATTGCACCCCATTTTGCTATTACATCGACAATGAAAACGGCGAGCTTTAAAAAACATCTCACTCAAATACTGTAAAATGCTAATCGATACAACGAAATTTAGATCGACGCAAACCCCAAAACAAGAAAAATAGTAAATGAATTAACCAGTAAGAAAATCTCATGATTAATTTCATCCTCATTCAACTGAAAATCAGATAAAAACTTCATTCATTCATAAAATACATGTAAAATGTTCCGGCTTCGGTTCCAACGTTAACATGGATGAAATCACACACCCTCCCTCTCCAGCTCCACGCCGTCCGGGGTGATATGGAATCATAGATTTGCTCACAATACTTTTTTGCACAATGAAAACTTATTTAAAAAGTTTTATAAAAGCAACTGTTAACGTGACCAACGACAATAATTTTAACCGAATTTTACACAAGAAAAATGATTCCCATTTTTTGTACAACGTATTGAAGTGATCAGGCCAACCTGCTTCAAGTCCATTTCCAGATCAACGATCTTTGTGTTCAAGGATGATTCTCTGGCAGCTGTCTCTGAAAGCAAAGTCTCTTCATGTTCGATTCCGGTTTTCGTGCTGGCTTGATGGCTGGTCTGAAATTTTGCCAGGGCCTTCAAATCGAGAAACAACATGAATTTACTGTGCCCAACCAGAGAATTCAGAAAAATGTCACCTCTCTCGTGATGTCCAGATCGTGTTTCGCATTGTCGAACAGTGTTTCGAGTTCATCGCATCGCTCTTGAAGGCTTTGTTTCTCTTGGAGCAGCACCAAACCATAATGCGCAGACTGCTGAACTTCCCTCGCTTGCTCGTCGAGTGCACTTCGCAGGTCCTCGACTTGCCTTTTCAAATCGGTCACTTCAATCCGCAACGCGTCAGCCGTGTCAGACGCCATTTTGGGGGCCCCTCCTGCGGGGGCACACCCCGGAATTCAACCACGAAAAATCACTCGAATAAATTAGGCAAGCACAACACTGTTATTTTTTAATTAAGAATGGCACATCTGTGGAAACAACGAGGTAAGACCTATGTTTTCAGCATCAATGTAATAAGTAAACTCGAGCGAACTGCAGGCACACATATTTCGTCCTTCATTGCAGTCTCTTGCTCATAATATTGCGAACCGGAAGATACAAGCAACATCAACTCAAATTTCACTTATAACTTCGCATCCACACAACAGGAGCAACTCTCAATCGGCAAGATACATTGAATCGAAAAATACAGTTCCCCACGAAGGCATCCCTTCGACATGGAGTGATTTTTGTACCTAGATCCCTGGTTTCACTATACCCAACAAGAGAATGAAAACAAAAATGGAGCATCTCTAATAAAGTGTACGCTAAATCGTCCCATTCTTTCCACTCGGCTGCAGAAATCCAACATTAATTTTTAAAAAGAAAGCAAAACCCCAACCAATGAAGAGGAAACTTGACCGGAATGGAAATCAAAAGCCCAGATATATTTGGTGTCGACTGCGATTCGATTTGAATCATATCACAGAGCTCTGCTCAACTCGAGCTCAACATAGCCCTCCTCATCCCACGAGAAAATAAAAGATCACTCAATAGAAATTATCGGCTAGCAATCGGTATACAATAGCTTTTCCTCTCCAAGTCAAACCGACTTGCCCGAAAACTGAAGCATGATCAAATTTCTAGAGAAACCCTTTAGTTGGATTTTCGAACATAGTAAAACCTTGAAATTTTCACAAGCTTTACATGGAATTATAAAGATTCAACGGAAATAATGAGAACATCTTCTGACGCTGTGCAAATCCTGTTTTTTCCCCTCTTTCTGATGTAATGTACTGTATAAGGAGGACCAGGTGCAGTAATACAGTACTAACCAGGGCAATATTCAAATCTTGTAACAATTCGTAGTCAGCGTTTCGGGCATCCTGTCGAGAACACCACAAACGACTCGGGTAAGTTCTTCGGCGTCAATACTGCGGGCGACAAAAGCGTGGCACAGCAGCTCAGGGTACCGCGGGCGGCACGAAACATTCTTGGTGAGGCTAAAGAAAAATACATCATTCATAAAGATATGAATTTCGAAATGACAGAATAGCAAGAAAATCTCGATTGAATGAACGATCCGTGAACGACTTCAAAGTTTGCTACGTTGCATAAGCATAATCTATGAGGCCGGTCACACTTTTCCTGGTCGTTAACGCAGTAAAACAACACTGAAGCATTTTCGACGTTTTTTCTTTCTCGAACACGGACGAGATAGTAACTCGGTGCCTCAATTACCATCATCTACAGGGGAAAATGTGCGACACTAGTGAGTTTGGAGACACACTAACCAAAAATTGACGAAGTCAACCAGTTCTGTGGAAAATGTCACTGGATCCGGTCCCATTTCTCCAGCGGGATATTCAGGCTTCAGGCGAGGGGAACAACCGTCAACAACCTGAGCGACTTGTTCGAAAACTGTGTTCCACTTAGGGTACGGAAACTTTCCAGTAGCCAATTCCATGACAGTAATGCCAAGAGACCAGACGTCTGATCGGACATCGTATTCCCTCAACTGTCGCGGATCAATTCTTTCCGGCGCCATATACGGCTCACAGCCTGCGTCTCGAGTTTTCGCTATTGAATTGACAAGCTTCCCACAAATACCGAAATCACACAGTTTTATATCGCCTCGCCGGTCAAGCAATATGTTACTTGGCTTCACGTCTCTGTGGATCATGCTGATTCGGTCCCTGAGATACTGCAAGGCGATGATCGTCTAGAAAAAAGTACATACAAATCATAACACAATACCCAAAAATTGTCTTTCTTACATTACTAACGCACACAAAAAAACGGTATGACTTCCAACATTCGGGGCATTCGGTTTCTCTTCAAACTTTGAATTTAATATACAGTACAGTATTTGTAAATGGCTGTAAATGGCCCTGTAAAAAAAATTGGTGTAGCAGCTCGGACTGATGCAGCATATTGAAATACCTGGTGAAATCTGTTCGACACATTAAAATCAAATAATCAACTAAAGAATTCGTATGATAAACAAAAGAAAACACAATTCCATAAATTTTGATCGAGTTCATGATTCCAGCACGTAAGCACCAGAGAGCACTGCTGGACAAATATGATGCAACTAAAATCGTGTCTTTATCATCACTAAAATAAACACCGAGTTAAAAACAATCCGTTGAAGAAAGGCTCACAAATGCTTCCTATCAAACTAAAATTTCCAGAACAGGGACATTTTTAATGACGGCGCAATGAAAAACCACATGCGACCGACAAATGCAATAGTGCTTCAAATACTTCATAGTAATTCCAGAACATCCAACTCACCGATTTTGCTATTTGCTGAAGAAGAATTTCCGGTATACGTTCCTTCAATTCTTCGTAAACAAAACGGTAAAATTTATCAAGGGAAGTATGCATCAACTCCATACATATCCAGCAATCACCCTTCAATAAAAACTCATCGTTAAAAGACGAAAAATGAATATTATACAAGCCTCGAACCTCTTTAAAAATTGCACCATAAAATTTCACAATGCTGGGGCAATCACTGCTCTTGACGATCACTTCCAGTTCCCTCATCAGATTTTTCTGCTCTCTTTCATCAACAGTCGATCGGATTCTCTGAAATATTAATTCTGTGACCGATCGATACGTATGAAAAAATAAATAAAATAGCACCTTCACAGCCATCGCGTAGTTCGATTGTCGGTGGACCATCTTGTTCACAGTACCGAATGCACCCCGGCCGATTTCTCCAAGATCAACTAGATCTTCTGCGGTGAATTCGTAGAGCTAAACAAAATTTACGAAATGTTGGTAGGAAATGAATCGACGAGAGGAAAAAATACTCACACTAGATTCTGAGAATGTCAGCTTTCCAGTCGAATAAAATCCACCCGGAATTTTCCATGGCTCACTGATGAATAATAAGCTTCAGCAACGATGGTTTGAGGAAGTAGGAATTAGATCGCACTCACAAATACGCTGGACCGCCTGATATAGGGAGTCGAACTTCTACCGGCTGACGCTGTTTCTCGGGGTTGTTGAAAGAAAGCCGCAGTCTATTTTTCCGCTCAACTTCGAAAACGTTGAAGTCAACACAACAGAATAACAAACATTGGTTCCAAAAGGTGCACATACCTGTAGAGAAATCGTCGCTCAAGGACAAAGAGTCCATGGAAGGCGAGGAATCCATCTGGCTTTAAGATTGTCACGAACTGCGACCCGACGCTCAGAGAAAAATGCTTTGCACTTGCAATTAATTTGACATAGTTCTGTGCAGCCGAATGATTTCTAAACGATGAAACAGTTATTTCAGTACCGTAAGCAAACGTTGAAAAATGATAACTACATTATGGACACAAATATACACGAAGATTCTGAACGCATTACAAACATTTTCATTATTCCACAAAAAAATTTTCATATTTAGTATTGTCTTTGTCGTCCTCCGCGAATGACACGATTCGGTGGAGTAATGCAGATGTCCATGTAGTCTCCAATAACGAAGTTGATTTGAGCGAGAGTTCTGGAGTCGTCGGGATTTCTCATACCAGTACACGTATTTCCAACATCAACGAGTCGGTATCCTAGGAGAATACGAGACACAGATGATTGTAATTGCGTGCGGCGTACGCTAAAAGCGAATACATACCATTCGGTCCAGGACAAACGAGTTTAAAGTCAAAGTGAGTTCCACGTCTGCGGGCATCAGGATTCACATCCGTGATCAAAGAAGTCAACTCCTTAAGACTAGCATCTAGCCACGTGTATATCTATCGATTAAATAAATAAAACATTCCGTGAACAAGAATTCCCGCAGGCACGTAACAAACCGCCTTACTTGTAATTCATTCAACGGAGTTTTTCCTTGAGTGTATTCGTGTGGAGCGTGGTGGCGACCTATTTGGTAAAAGAGTCTCAGAAGTAGAGGACAAGTGCGCTCTCTATCAATCGGTCGTTCAATCTGCTTGATTTCCTCCACATGAGATTCCATTCCGAAACCGTCATGATATCCCATCATAGCACGACCAGGAAAGCGTCGAAACATGTCTAAATGCTACTTCAACCCGCAACAACAGAAACGCGCACTCAAACGTCCGTAAGAGATCTTCAACGATACAGAAAAACGTGCATAATTTCAGTAACGCCGGGAATCGCAAGAAGCACAATCAACAATTGCCCCACACTCTCGAAAGGCTCGATAGACTGTTCAGGAGGACACCGAAACTGCCACATTATGGAGGAAGTCACGCTGCCATCTCCATCTACGGAAGGAGAGACGAACTACTTTTTGAATTCACTTCCCTGACTCGAAGTACAGTACTGTACTGTTGTGTAGCTGATCCAGTACTATTCAGGTCGAATAAGAATTGATGATTACTTCGTAAGATTCTTTCAATAAATTGGCTTTCTTTTCGATATACTGTATTGGTGGATTCCGACCACAAATTTAGTGGTACAGTATAAATGCGGACAATACAATTTGACTACCACAAAACTTCCATGCCCTATGAATTTATTTGAAGCAAATCTGTATGTATAAGGAATAAAAAATACAATAAAAAATATAATATAAATATAATAATATAAATAATAATATAAAAATTGAATATAATATAATAAAAATTGAATATAAAAAATGTAACAGAATATGTTCCTTATTGACGGTGCTCCAGATCTGACAACCAACATACATGTATATGCTCCAGATCAAAGATGAAGAATGCTCTACTTTTAGCAATCTTATTTCTGCCAGTGCTGTCCAATGTTAGCTTGCCAAAGTTATCCAGAAAAAAATATTGGGGCATCAGAATAAGTGTAAGTGTTGCTGAGGGGGGGGGGGGTGCACTGGCTCACATTTAGCAGCTCACATATGAGCTCTGGCAAGAAGTCCATCTACCAAAGTAAGTAAAGTAAAAGTCAGGCAATATTGAAGAATATTCTTGAACACTTCTAGAAATACAGAGTCGAGTGTAAACCAGCGTGAGCTTCGGAACAACCACCGTTTGCAGGCGGCAATAGGGGAGGAGTCAAAATGCCCTGTTTCCATGGATCTTCATTGGTGCTCCTTTTCAAACAAGGATCTACCAACAGGATATCATTGTGAGGGTTACTGTAGGTGCCCCTAAGTCTCAACTGTTTTGTATTTCCCGCCACAGGCGCGGGCGACGGCTGGGGGGAGGTATCGTCCTCGATCTCACGGTCAGGCATTTTTTCGCGAGCTGTTGTCTAAAGGAGGCTGATGTGACCGGCGAAATTACCATCAGAGAATCTGCCTTATTAAACTTCGGGTGTATGACTATCAGACACCCGGTTCGTTACTATTTGCCAGAGGCTTTGCGATTGTGTGGTGTACGATGTATGTTAGTTAATGAAAAAAAGTGTTGCCGATGAGTGATACATGTGAAGTGTGAATGGCTAAAATGGCAGCGCACTTAGCGCTGGTACTAGTGCAAGTACCGTTTTCGTAGTTGCGGTACTTAGAGTACTCAATCCTTCTTCGGTTTTATTGTGTTTTACTTGAATTCACTTGATTTTTTACGTGCGTAAATATACGTGACAAGGAAAATTTTAATCTTCGTGTGCTGAAGATAATGCATGTGTGTCGTGTGAGACTGAAGCATACTGTACCATGTTTAAATGCATTTGTTATGGAGATTAACATAATTTTTTTTTTCGTAAATCTCCGCGCGTTCAAATTTTAGGGAAAAAATGAAGTTGAGAATGCATGGGTCACCCGGTGTCAGTGTTCGGATTGGCAATAACGTGCGTCTACTTTGATCGTAGTGCAACTTTTTAACGGCTCTGTCGTTTTCAAGGTATTCGTCAACTGAGGGCGGTGATATTGAGTTTGAATGAGTAGTGTCTTGCACACATGAAGTACCCGGAACGGCAGCCTTTTGTTGTCGACCGCGCTGATGGAGACATCGTCGTACAGTGGATATATCAACCTGTATTACAACCTCGTTCACCAGTCGACTAGTCATTATTTCAAAGAATATTGTCGACAACAATTATCAGGTAGGAGATTTACATTTTCTATCTGTAGTGTGCTTCACTAAAACACATCTACCTGATATAGGGCCGTCCGGACCTGGCGGCGCTCCTGGTACCAATGGACCTCCGGGACCGCGGCCGCCTGGTGTTCGTTTCAATAGTCCCGGTCAACCTGTGCCGGTTTCCGAAGTATCTGGTGGAGGCGCTCAATTGCAGAATAATGTTGGTGTTCCGAACATGAACAATTATGACTGGCAGCAGTCCCAACAGCAAAATCCTCAGCAGCACCAGCAACAAGCTCAACTTTCTCATCAACAAACTCAGCAGCATCAGCCTCAACAATCTCAGATTCCCCAACAACAAGCTCAGCAACAGCAGCAACCGCAGCAACATCAACCCAATCAGCAACAGAACCATCAACATCGGACAAACTCATCTAGCGGGCATCAAGGGCAGAATCCTGGTGAATATTTGTTTATTTTTCTCCGCGTTGAAAAATCTAACATGAGTTGTTTTGATTTCTTTTCTAGCCAACTCAAACAAAGTGAACCTTAATATCAAACAAATCGGTAACGAAGGTCGGCGGAACGAAATCAACTCAAACCATCGCCGGGACGATCACGGCGGAAACGAATCTCACATGCTTTCGGTTGATAGCAATTCCGGCGTTGCGGATATTATTCCGCATCCCTTCATGAAGGTTTGATCGCTTTTTTCTTTTGGTGATTTTAAAAATAAAATGGACCTTTCAATTTATGCGCAGGGTTTCAGTGGCATGATGCACGGACATCCGATGATGGGTGGCATGAATCACGGTCCTATGAGTCCCTCGGATGCCTCTGATGGTGGGGATTCCCCGACAGCGATCGAAAACCGTCCTTTCCCTTGCAATGTTTGCGGGAAAAGGTTCAAGCAGAAAGCCGTCCTCTACCAGCATGAACGGACGCATACTGGTGTGAAACCCTACGGCTGCCCAGAATGTGGGAAGATGTTTCGGCAACAAACGCATCTTGTTCAACATGTCCGGATTCATACAGGTAATACATAATTTTTCCGAATTTCGATCTGTTCTTTAATCGCACGATGAAGCTACCTTGGCTTTTTACCTCACTTGAGTACAATTGTATTTTATTCATTTGCGTGTTTTTGAGTAATTCTTCAAAAAAAAACCAAACTTAGTCTTGCATAAAGTCGTGTGTGTCTCTTGAATTAAGGTGGATTCCGAGTATTTAGACATGTGTAAACTCACTTCGCCACATGCACCGGTATTTATCGCCGAATGTGAACGACTCTTCGTTTTCATTTTAAAACTGAAAATGTTCAAGCATCAGATATCTGTCACTGGATCCATTAAGATAAGGTACCCGTATTGTGAAGCAGGAAACTGGAACCCCTTCAACCTATCAAGGTTGCCGAAATACCGTGATTTCCTCGAATACTCAGTTTCGAATCGATTACTGTATATGAAATTTATAAATGCCCCATGAAGTGCAACAGTTTTTGTCTCCCGTGACATGTGAATGACTGTCGTGCTATCATGCTGAAGCAAGTGTATAGTTCACGCTTAGAGCATGTGTTTTCCTTTTGTATATCTCGAATCGAAAGTTGTTGAGGCATTGAATGGAACCCGACATCGTCAATGGATGAAGTTTGTTAAGTCGTTTCCTGTGTCGGAATAATTTTTTAATTTGCTAGAATTGTTTACGTGTACAGTATTAATTCTCTTCATGTTAATAACGTTGATAATATTTGGAACGAGGAATGGATCAGTTAAAAAATTTTTCTTGATTTCTTTCTTTCTCAGGAGAGAAACCCTACACTTGCCCCTTTTGCGAGCGATGCTTTCGACAAAAGACAATTTTGGATCAGCATTTGCGAACGCATACAGGCATTAAGCCGTATCACTGCCCAGAGTGCGGGAAGCAGTTTCGCCAAAAGGCGATCCTGAATCAGCACTTCCGGATCCACCTGGGTGCCAAGCCCTATTGTTGCTACCTGTGTCGGAAGTCGTTCGCTCAGCGAGCTGTGCTCGACCAGCACCTGAAGACGCACTTGAACGACAGCATGGCGCGTATGGGAATGCGATTTCCAATGACGCCGCGCGGAGACGACGAGATCGAAATCGTCGATGGCAACGCTGGGCACCCGTCCATGTACACCAGCGCCATCCCGGCCCTCAGTGCGCCCCCCAACCACCCGCACGCGCAACTAGCTCCGTCTAACCTCGCTTCTCTCATCTCATTGGGAATGCCTTCTGCCTCCGCGTTCGCGCCGAAGAAGAAACGCGGACGACCGCCGCTACACCGCGATGGACAAACAGTGGGATCGTCGAAGGTCAAAGACCAGAACAGCCAGCAGCAGCATCACCAGCCGGGGCCGTCCGGATATTACCAGGCTCAGCAGCCCCAGCAGCAGCAGCAGCAACAACAGCAGCAAGGGCAGCAGCAACAAGGACCCCCGATTTTGCACAACTTCCCGCCTGGCACGCAGATCACGAGGATCTCCGTGCCGTCCACAAATGGGAACGGCAGTGGGCCGCGCAACGATGATGTGCGGAGCAGGCAGCAAATGTCGCCCGGGTCCGGCGGAGATCGATCAGCTTACCAACACGGTCCGCCACCTCAACAGTATTACGGACAAGGTGTGGTGGACCACCAACAGTCCATGCAGTCTATGCAGCAATCTCAGAGGCAGTAGGATGCAGTGCCCGACTTCTTGTCGTTTCAAGTAACAAACACCTCGCTTACTCTCCAACGATCCCCCTCTCTGTGTTGGTGAGTGTTGCACGTTCCTCTTGGTAATCCGCGCGACGGGAAACAGGGGCATGGAGCGTGTTCCTCAGCAATCGTCATCCTTCATGATCAAAGTCTTGTGCATTTATGACTGACTCTCGTGAACCTCCCAGCGTAGCCGTGTCCACGAACAAAACATTTTTTGAGTGAGTGAGCTTTGATAGGAGATTTTTTTCTCTTCCCCCGCCTGAAACGCGAAGTGGCATTCGTAACCGAAATCCGGGGCTGGAGTTTGTATTGAGAGATCTACTTTTTGCTTCTCAATCGAACAATGTTCGTAGAAGTCTTACGAACAGCGTTTGGCTCGAAAAGAGGCGATAACGTGTTGATTTTTACTTGCGGTGTGGGAGGATTACTCTGTAAAGAGTGGAAAGACAGTTTTTTCTTGAGATTTTTCGCTCTCCGGGAGGATCTCGATTGTTTAACTTTGAAAATTAACCCGAAAACGGATGAGGGCACATTTTCGTGCGAAAAGCATTGCGGGATTGGGCGAGGGTCTTGCGGCATTCGTTGAAGAGCACGGGCAACACCATGGCTATTTTTTTTCTACGAGTGTCTGAGTTATCCGACTCGGACGTCTGAACGACAGTGACCTGGGTTCCGAAGCTTCAGTATTCGTATTGATATCATGAGCTTTCCGTAAGAAGAGGAAAAGAAAGAGATGACGAGTTGTTCGAATGATTTTCTGCTGCGATTTTTTGTTACGTCGATCCAGGACTGTTTTGCCAGTTGGTGTTGCGCCTGCTCATTGAGGAATTCGTCGAGGTAGGTATTGGAAGGGAAGGCTTCCCTGTTTCTCTCATTGAGAAGTCTCGGGAAAAAAAATTCGCGCATGGTTTTTAATCAATTAAGCTGTTACTTTTTTTTGACTCGTCACGTTGTATTTCAACCTGTAGAAAAAAGTGGATGCTGGTCTGACGACAGCTGAGGGGAAAAGAATGTGGCTTAAACGAGCACACAAGGCATTGTTCATCTCACTCACCTTGTTGATCTGTTGAATTTTTTCGCGTGTGGAGAAAACTATGGAATGCAAATGCGTGTGATTTTCGTGTGCTTGCGAAGATTTAGCGGTCGTTGTACGATAATCGATGCTTTTTTTTCGTATCATGTTGAACAAAAAATTGAGGAGGATTTTTCTTTTTAACGCTACGGTTCAACATAACAATCGTGCACAACTTGTCGCTGCCAAGTGTAAAAAAGGGGATTTTCATTTTGTACTGACAGTTTGTTTTTTCTGCTCCTCCCCTAGATTGTTGATCCCTGGGGATTTTTTTTGGTGGAAAGAAAGCAAGATCACATCTGTGATTTGTGTAATTAGGGACGAGGGTGGTGATTCGTGGAATGTGGCATCTTAATTGGCGGGGAACGAAAAGGATTGACCGAATTAGGGATTTTTTCCTTCGAGCTTACAAACTTTTTAATGAATGGAACGGATTCCGCCACAGCTTTTTTGAATTTTTTGATAGATTCCGGATTCAGAAAGCAAAATCCCTTTCCGCCCAAATTTCTTCCTTTCCGTGTTTGCTGCTTGATTCGCAGACACTGCGTTTACACTGGTGCTTTGCAAGGACATGGACTCGATAAATTTTCGAGTTACCCTCCGTGCTTCATCGTGGAGCCGATTCAGGAGATTGACCAAAGTTGGTTATTCCGCTCTTTTTTTATTTTTCATATCATCGGAAACGGCAGTGTGAAGAAAGCTTTGCGATTTTTCTACCTGGTCGTGTTTCCCCTCAACGTCGCCATTTACAGCCAGCTTTGAATGCCACACAGCTTCCTAGCTTACTCATCAAGTGAAATATTTAATATCGTACATTGACGTGCATTTTTTCAGAAACTTTAAAGAACCTGAATTTGTACTTGTTTACAGTGTTAGTGGGATTGTTGAACAACGCTTGAGAAAGCTTGTGTCTGTTGCCTGTGGAGTGATCCCTCCCTTTTTGATGTCTGTGAACAGATGTGGGCAGTTTCCATTGGAAATTTCCGTATCAATTTTTGGAGATCCGACGAAAAAGTAGCTGCTTGATATTTTTTCATACGATGAATCGGGAGTGTATCGTGCTGACATTGATAGCTTTCGGTAATTTGTGAGAGGATCTTGGTCATCCTTTGGAAAAGTTGTTTACGAGACGGAACAGAAAGAAATGAGAAACTAAGCCGTAGGTTAGAAGTCGAGCACAATGTCTGCGAATCAAGACGCTTCCCCCGGAACGTTGGAGAAAATTTGGGTGGGCGCAGAATCTCTCCCTGTCGGTTCTACCTTTTCATTGCCACTTTTTTGGCACTGTTCTTCGTTGCTCTGTTGTGATGGGGCGCGTGAAGTTGATCCAGTTTACGGGGATTGCTGGGAAAAGAGTATTCGATCGGCGCTGCCGAGCACCCCGCCTGCGCGAGTCAAGATGTGCTCCTCTGAAGAGAAATAATTTCAATTCTCGGACGAAATAACCATGTACTATAGGTTTTCCCCAGTTATTGATGAAAGTATTCAACGTAGAAATATAAAGTTGGTTATTTTTTGTGACATGAAATTAAATTGCTCCAATAAACTTTGCAATTCCACAGTATGTTTATATCGAATCTATAACATTTGTATTTCCACTTGATGAGGCAGTTCGCAGTACTGTACGATACAGTGCAGGATTTGTACGTGAATACGCACAATGCTGTACTTGCCTTCACCAGATCAAGAAAAACGGAAATCTTGGAAAGCTTTGATTCTTTGGAAAAGTTTCATATGAAAATCTCGGTCTTTTCTCATATTCATCAAGTGAGTCCTGGATGTCCTGATTTTTAGCGAGTGAGCATTTGAAGATTTGCAATATTGTTGGAGGTTGATTGTAGCTGCTTGCCCTTTACACTAGTCTTCATGGAATTATTCGCTTCAAAATACCGACAAAAAGAGTTACTTCCCATGACATTTTTGCAGATCAATCGATGGGGGATTAATTTCTTTGTTAGAATACCTGACTTCCCGAGGCATGGGCAAATATTTTCCACGTTATTTCTCACTAAGTTCGGATTCTTATAAAAAAAAAAGCTATACAAATCGTTCTATGTGGAATTTAGTCGGTTCCATTGGTTCACATTTTTTGATCAATAAATTTGCGAAATCGTGACATTTTAAATAGCTGTTGTAGTTTGTTCAGGAGCCGAAGGTGCCTGACGAACGCTGGCGGGGAGCTTGGAAAGTGTGAGGAGCTGTGATGGTCGTAAAAGAGAATCGGATTTTGGGATAATGTTGGGAAGGGAGTAACGATTGGTGAGCTTCGGTGGCATGGTTTCCCCCTTAATCCCCCGCTCCCTGAGAGAAAGAGAGAGAAAAAAAAGAAACCCTGGTTGGACTTCATCCGTCTGGACGAAAGTTTGTGGATACGTTGCTTCACTATTGGTAACCATCTGGGTCTGATACGTGTAACATAAAAAACCCCCTTGAGTTGCATTCGATTAATGTGTATTCGCAGTGGTTTTTTAATTCGATATATTTTTTGGAATGTGCCTTTGATTTGGATGGCTCGTGTCGATTGTGTGATTGGATTTTTGAGCTTCCTATGTCTGCTTCGCATCGGTTCTCCGGGGCTTAGTTTTCGTGCGTTTGAAGTTTTTTTTCGAGTTCAAACAGATGTCCTGATCGACAGTATTCCTCGAAGGGATTTTTTCATTCATTTTTCCAAACGCTTTAATGCTCTGGACTTCTGTTTGCTTTTTTTTTTTTTTTTTATCGCCGAACGCCGGGAGGGATGAAAAGCTTCGTTGATTTTTTGCTCGGATAACAACTTCTTGATCTCGCTAGACCTGCGTCGCACTGGGCCATAAAAAAGAAAAAAGAATCCTGTACAAATCGGCGGTTTTTTTATTGTATCCCTTCCCTCGTGTCGTAGAATCTCGTTGATTGGAAAAATTGTTGACGAAAGAGAAGGTTTATTTATCTCGCGTGGAATCACTCATGCTGTAGGGATTCGGGCTTCCCCGGCGAACGAAACCGAAAGCTTTACTTTGTCCTCGATTCCTTCGACAGATTTTTTTTTTTCAGTTACGAGCTATTCTCACTCTTTTTTTAGAACACCTTCGCTAATCGGATCGTTATTTGGCGCGACAACTTCACAATCAACTAAAGAAATCGTCTCGTTTTCGAGGAACAGGTGAATGATGCGCCGTTTATCGAAATTTTTTCTCCCATTTTAACCTTTTTGCGAATTAAAGTAAAATTAGGCAATCAGTCTGCCTCGAGGCTCCTTATTTCTTGCGTGTTTTCAAGGAAAACAAAAACAAGAGAAGACTTTTAAATGAAAGACTCACACGCTGGTTGTTGGGAATGATGACGAGAAGATGAAGCAAAGTTGTTGCCAAAACTATGATTTCCCTTGTCGAAACGTTTCAGCGGAATGTGTTGGAAAGATTGGGACGGATAAGATATTTTGGAAGAAGAAAACAGAATTTGCCCCTCCATGGTGTCGGAATTCAGCGATTGTAACCTCTTCCCTGTCGGTCGCTTGCTTGCAACGCCTGTCTGAGTTTTTTTTTTTTTAATATGAAAAAACTAATTCGCAGCAGATCACGCAATCATTATTATTTTTCTCTTGGTTCGCCTAGTACTAAATCGGAGTTCAATCTACGATGGTGCAAAACGATAGGTTGAACTGCGGCAGATGATGTATGAAGTGCATTTGTATTTGAAGAATAAATGCGGTCATTTTTTACGCGAAACTCTGTCGCGTTTTTTTTCTCATGATTGCTCCCACGAGTAAATCGGAAATTTCCTCAAGTTTTATTATGACTAATACTGTATCCCGAGATGTTTGTTACCGGTATACATTTCAGTCGACTTGGAAGCACGAGGTACGGGGGTTGGATCATACATTTTGTCAGTTTTTGGCTTACTTAGTTAATCTGGTTGAAGTCCCATTTTGTGGAGGAATTCCGAAATAATGCTCGTTAAAATAATTCGTCTTCCCGATTTTTGTTTACCTGAGTTGAACTAGAGAGAACATATTGTCGGAAATGATCCCCGTCTATGGGAGGGAATAAGGTTTAAATGTACGAAAAATTGCTTGCAGCCAAAATACTACCGAATACAGGTGGACTCTCTCTACAACGATATTTTTTGCAATTAGTTTTTTCTGTTCACCGAATTTTTGGCCCAATAGGATCCTCTCCCCAAGTTATGGGGGTTCTCGACAAATAAATTTGTTTCTCGTCCCTTGAATTTTGTTTTAGAGTCCACTTGGTAGGCTCTCACTACAGCAATCTTGTCTACAACGATTTTCTCTGTACACCGAATTTTTCGAATGGACCCGTAGGGTTCTCTACCCATTTTATAGGGATTCTGTGCAACAAAGTTCTCTCTCTTTAAACAATTTTTTCTGGTCCTCAGAATTTCGTTGTAGAAGGAGTCTACATGTCTAATTCTATGAATGCTTCATAGAATCTGCTGTGTAAGTATTGGACATATCTGAGTTTTTACTTCTTGTCTTAGCAAGTTTTCTTTCAGTCATGGCGTTTCTGAAAGTTTAAATAAAATGTAAGTTGAAGTGCGAGAAGTCGTTCGAGCCTGGGCTAGATTTTAAAAATATCCTCACCAACCGAACAAACACTTGCTTTTCGTCTTGCGATTGATTTCACGCTGTTTTGTAGGAATCTGATTTGTAAACGTGTGCACCCTTGAAATATATTTTATGGCACTGACAATAATGTTGACCCACCCCTCGTATTCTGAATTGTGAAAAAAGAAATTAATGTCCAAAACGGAATCAACGTCATTCAGAGGGAATTCGCGATTTTTTTCGTACAAATTTGGTTCATCCTCGAAGCCATTATCCACGTTTTCCCTTCATCACTTTTTGTCTTGAAAAAAGAAGCAGGAAAGTGAAATCGTAGTGTCGGAAAGCAAAAAAAAAAAAAAAAATGGCTGAAGGACCATCAGATGCCGATCAGATGAAACAGTTCCGAGACTTTCTCATCAGTTACAATCGGTTGTCGGAAACGTGCTTCGCAGACTGCGTTCACGATTTTACGACGCGCCACGTGCGCGACAAGGAGTTCAACTGTGCAAACAATTGCGTTTTGAAGTACCTCAAGATCAACCAACGGGTGTCTCAACGGTTCCAGGAAATCCAAGTCATGGCCAATGAAAACCTGCTCGCAGCTGCGCAAAAGGCAGCCTCGTGATCGCGTTTTTATCCGAAAAAGTTGCGTTCGACTTGTTTTTTAGTTCACCTGTGATTAGCATTATTAAATATTGCTTTGTGCAAGTGTGACAGTGCGTGAGATCTAAAAGGGGCAAGGTTGTTTTAGTGCTGATATGGGTGGTATTTTTTGCGTTCAGAGAAAGGTGTGTGAATGTGCTCTCTGCTGTGATGAACCGGGGCAAGAGAAGATCTGCGCCGGTAGAGCCTACGGATCTGACGAGCCGATCAAATGGCGACGCACCGAAAAGGTTGGTGTCATCATCTTTCATTCCAATCCATGTAAAGAAAAATTGTAATTGCACCACTGATCAGATATTTATGATTAGCCAGATACATATTTCAGTTTCGAGGAATCTTCGCCAGAATGTGAACATTATTTCTCGAGATAGTGTCGTTAACGAAATCGCTTTGAGGGTCTGGCTGTGCAGTGGATTCCCGCTTTACGAAAGAACCGTACAAGGTACAACAACAAATTTCCCGTTGCGAATTTTTTGTGAGGCAAACAAAGAGACTTTAATACAAACTTTTGGCAAAAAAAACGCATAAATGTTCGCTAGTTTTTTGTTGAAACTTCGGAATTTTCCCAAGAAAACGACCATAATTAGAAAAGACGGTATGCAGTACTTCATCTCTTGTCTTCAAAATCTATTGAGTTCAGAAAGGTAAGAGAGCCCGAACTTAACATGGTTCGTAAGATGTGAGGCTAAATCACAAATTGTTTCTGACAACTAGGATAAATACGGGTTCTGAGGCTTATTTTGGTCTTTTGGTTGGTGTGGGGAACAAATTAAAGCATTTATCTTGGTAACCTTGACAGAAATCGTGTTTCGCATTACGGAAAACGTATCCACGAGAAGAATGTCTGGTTTTGCGGGGATCAACCACAGTACCGTATTTCCTTAATGTTGGGCTTGTCTGTGGCTTCTGTTCAGAAGTTCGGGAGAGATTTGAAAGAATGAAGTGCGATTTCACGAGAGGTTACATGCGTCTCGTGAGGATAACTTTTCTTAGCGCGTTAGCCCGGTCTGAAATAGTGACGAGAACGAACAAAGAAGTTGGGATAATCAGGAGTTCTATCTGATATTATCTGCAGATGGGTAGGAAGTTTTCGGCGTAGGCGTCGTTTGATTATATTTACTGTTTTTTTAATGCTATGAAAGTACGCTATAAATATTATAATGACGCGGTATTGTTTGATTTTGATGTTGACAGAATACGTTTGCAAGCGCATCGAAAATTCGCCGAAGGTGTACCAATCCCGGGCCGCCAGTGCAGTGAATCCTTCGTACGTCCGGTCGACGTAGATTATTTTCCCAAAAACGCCCGATGTTCAGCCTTGAGCGGCGGCGACGTTTTAGCCGCCAATTCGCCCGAAAACAGCCGTGATGCCGATGCATTGGATATCATTGCTCCGTCGGCTGAAGCATTCTGCGCATACATTCTTTACGATGGTGAGTCATGATGCAGTACTTATCCATGGTTTCAAACGATTTAAGGTAATTCGCAGATTTTTCGCTTTCCTAATGAGTTTTCTGCATTTACATGCCCGAATTTCCGTGGTAATATTACCGTTCGTTTTTGCGAATGGCTCAATTTACAGTTGAACCTCGATAACTGGAGCCTCCCTAAGTTGAATTTTTTCCAAGTCCTGTCTGGATCCCCTTAGAATGAATGCATTAAAAACCTCCTTAAGTCAAAGGCTTTTCCCCTCAAACCTCCATAAGTTGAATTTTCTGTGGCCCGTCAGCTTTTAGTTTCTTGACACAAAAAAGAAAAAAAGCAGTAAAACAGAAATTGATTTGTTTTAAAAGGAGGTGAGAGACTTAATTTGGCAAATAAACCCTGCCTCCGATTTCAGGATTCTTTCAACTCATATAAGAAGTAATTTCAGCCCCAGAATATCACCATTTATAATTTTGAGCAATCTTTCTATGTTTCCAAGAACAAAATGGCTTGGTATTGTAGCTCAATTCAAAACCTCCCAAAATCGAATTTTTTTGCTGGTCCCTTGAAATTCGACTTAGAGAGGTTTGACTAGTTCGTTTTTGCAAATGGCTCAATTTCTGGCAGGTGTTGACATTTTCTTTGATGTAGTCAGGAAATTATAATTATTTCAAATCCTCTGAAGGAGACTACTGTATTTGAAAACAAAAAATTATTGCTTCTTCTGTTCTTTTTTTGCTCTTCTGTTTTTCGCGACCGTCAATAATTTCGGCTTCGCTTGGGTTCCTTTTTTGTGCCATTTTCTGTTGTGTAATACTGTACATCAATTTTAGTACAGTACGAGAGCGTGCAACGTTGCTTTCAGACTGTCTTTAGTGTATTGAGAGATGAGAGTAATGATCGAAACGGTTGCTGCAAATCTTAACAGGCGATTAAATATCGCTATCGATGCTCTATTTTCTGTATCAGAGTTGAATTTCAAGCACCAGCAAACCGAAGTCGAGTTGTGGAGGTTACTATCTACGGGAAAAAAAGCATTTGCAGTGGGGGAAGAAAGAATAATTACAGGAAACCATAATTCTTGTCATTCTAGGCCTTATATTTCTTCTTGAACGAGTTGACAGGATGCTGAACTCTGAGACGAGGCTTTATTTGCCCAATTAGTCCTTCACTTCTTTTCAAAACACATCCAAGTTACATTTTTTATTGCTTTTCTCTTTCCTGTGTAATAAAATGGCCAGAATGCCTCCAAAAAATTCGACTTGGGGAGTTTTGAGGAGGAACGCCTTTGAGTTCGGGAGGTTTTTTAAATGCGTTGTTTCTGAGGGAATTCCGAGGGGGGATTTGGAAAAATTGACACAGGGAGGTATTCAACTTGGAGTGGTTCGAGTTATCAAGGTTCATCTGTAATTTTAAAATCTGCAAGGTCTGTATCATTCTTGAAAAATGGAACATTCCTTGTGCATGGAAGAAGTCTGCTGAGTTTTTGAAAATCGAGCTGATGTTATTCCGTCTGAATATATTTTTCACTTCAGAATGTTGGCTGACTGAGGTTACGCATGTTTCTTCGATTGTCACCTTTTTTATATTTTTAATGAGTCGTGAGCCTAACAACAAGGCTGATTCGAAAATAATAAGTTAATCGAATGAACGTTCACTATGTATCTGAAGGACAGATTTAGCGCGGGAACATAACTTTTGAGTGCCGCGGGATCCTTCGTAATTTAAAATTCCGTGTAACGTCTGGAAAAACTTTGACGACCTAGATTTATTGATTTGCATTTATTGTGAAATGGTTTGATGGCTATATTCTTTCTCGAGAATTTTCACTAGATTTCAGTCCCACAAACCGTTTGTGCTGGAGTTGCGGAAATTGAATTACGAAATGTATGTCTAATAAAGTGAAGTCATCGGGATTCGGGAAAGCGAGGGAGATCTTGGGATCATCTGAGTAATTGCAATTTGCAAGTACTCGGCGCCTGTGAGACGAAAATAAATGTTATCACCCATTTCCGAACTGGCGGGCGCTTGGGAAATGGGAGGAAATGTGTGGCATCCTAGGAAAAATAATTCATTTTATTAAATGTTGCGATTGTTGGTAAATAAACACAGTATGTGTCCCAAAAAAATCCAAAAATGTACTAATTTTTTCCGAGAAGCACCAATTAGTGTACCATACTAATCTCCGTTGAAAAGATTGCATGATTTCCTTTTCATACGTGACACGAATTCACGGATAATGTTTGTCTAAAGTATCCAAAAAAATCAGAGTTTTTATCTTTTTTATGGGTGCAATATACGGTACATGCCTTTTCCCCCTGTTTTCTTGCCAATTTTTAAAAGCTAGGAAAACCTGCGTTAGGTGCCCAAAGAACAAGTGAAACACGTCGGAACTGCAGGACGTGTGAACGTTGCCTCGGGTTTAATTTTCAAATACAGTACTGTACAACATAATCTTTTTATTACGAATTTATGCTTGCGAAGAATTCGTAATTTTGGTCTCTGCGCCCAATAGCCACATTGTTATTTTAAATTTCGTTCTAAGGCATTTTTGTATACAACGAAGCTTAAACTTGCACTATGCAACTACTGTAGTATCAATGTCCTTTAACAAATGATAATTGATGACCCTTCGTTTTCATTTGAAAAATAAGAAGAAAGAAACATTTATAAACGGACGTTGGGGGTTTCGACGCAGGAACTGATTTGATGACCCCCGAACTGGAGATTTTCAACAATGCCGCGTTGTACGTGGAGGAGCCTTCGTTGGGAGCGACCAGCAGTGTTCGTGGCGAGAGTCCCGGCGGAGAGAAGCGTGTTCCCGTCTCTCGACGGGACTCCTCCGTGACTTGCGGGAACTCGGGCGTGAGCACGCCTAGGAGTAATTCGTCCTGTGCGACAGCCGTCGTCAACAATGCTAAAACCGCAAAGGTGCTTTTTTTTCTTTTCTTCTCACAAATTAATAATAAACGTGTTCAAGCATCCTATCCCTTCCTCTTTTTAAACATTTTTTTTTTCGTTTCTGTTTTTGCACCTTGAAAAAAACTGAGGTTTTCTCAGTTCAAGTGCGAGCACGTTGTTACGAGGAATACTCGGCTTTAACGCGATGAAAGAGGTGGACTTCTCTTCTCTAGCACAGGGGTTTTTCAACTGGTGGTGCATGAGATTCTCGTAGGCTAACGCTGCTCTTGTGAATTTGTGATGCACAAATTGAATAAAGTTGTAAACAATTTGCGAAGTGAATTTAAACTTGAATTGTGGGGACAGGAAGACCAAAAACAAGTGTAAAATTAAGGAAAAGCTATTATTCGCGCTCCGCACATTTTAGGCCTAACGGGGTTCTTGGTTTGAGGACAACGCATAATTCAATGTCCAGAAATTTTAACGCGAAGTATGTCGTTTGGAATTGTAAGAATGTGTATGAAGTACACTACGATGTTCTTAGCCTTGAGTTGAAGCCACAAATGGTGGCTGGTGAATAAGGTATGCTGAGGCTCTCTAGTTTTGAGAGTGGTCCAATGTAAACAAAAGCTGTGAAGCACTGCTCCAGTATATTAAATCGAATATTATTTCCATTGTTTTCCCCGTGAAATTATACATACCTTAAAGTGTTTCTGAAAAGCAATGCTGTACGTGTAGCCGTGTAGGGCATATTTCTTGGATTTTCTCTCTGCCGGAATGACGGGAAATTTCGGGTCCAATCTTTCAGTTGATGAAAATTTGTAAAAGTCAATGAATTGTAAAAGTCAAGTCCTACTTAGAAAATTAGTTTATACTAAAAGCAGCAAACGCATGTGATACGAAGTCCCAAAGAAAATAATCCGCCGAATATATCTTACACTGAATCAAAATTTCAAAAAAAGATTGGCCCTCCGTTTCTGATAAAATTTTAAAATCAACTGGAGCAAATGTTTTGGTGACATGTGTTGTAATTTGCCATAAATATACTGTATCTGAATTATTTCTTCTCATGCGTAATAGTCGTTCCGATTTGATCTCGACGATCGATAATTGAGTAAAACCTCTATTGTCCAAGCCTCTATTCATGCGCATACTTTTGTACTATGCGTTCGTAAATTTTGAAACAATGACGAACACAAAAACCTGGATTAATACTGTTTTTATTCATTATCTGTTATGCATCTCAGTGGAGTATTGATACATTAAAGTGGTCTGAGAAATGTGTTCCTGGTGAGATGTTGAAAAAGTTTGATAGTTTCAAGGTTGTTCTGGAGTGAAACCTTCTTGGATTATACAGTGAGAAACTATATTTTTTTTATTATGGGTCATGAACTCAGGTAATGAAGATTCCACTGGATTCATGAAGCTGCTTGACGGATTAGAGTGTAAAAGTCAACATTTTCTTCGAGTACCTTTCGAAGTAACGAGCGTTAAATAATTATTGCTCTATAGACGTTGAAGGATGTCAAACGATCACTGGACAAGGAATTCAGCTCCAAGCCCAGCAAAAAATCACTTGCATCTCGGCGATCGGACTCCGCCATCCACAAAATATACGGAAGTGAGCTGACATTTTTTCTGGTTCGGTTTATGGATCGAACACTTTTTCTGACCCTAAAATTCGTTGTAGGGGAGCCACGGGGTTTGATTAAAAATGTGAGACCAGGAGAACCCCCGCCCGCGGGTGCTGTTCGGAAATCTGGTACTCCGATATCTCGGCGATTTTTGAGGCACCGGATCGTTCGTCCTTCCCCGGTGAAGAAGTGGCTCGCGACGAAGAAAATTGTGGCCAAGCCAATAACTGCCCCTAAAACGAATGAATCTATCACGAGGGAAACATCGAAACCAAAGCAGAAAAATGCTGCTTCGAATTCCGGAGAGAAAAGTGCGACGAAATCGAAGCAAAAGACGTGAGTCAATCGTCTCGCATTTTCGTGAACCCCTAAGCAACCATGTTCATGCGCCCTCAAATAACACCCGCACCAGGTGTTTTTCAGTTTACAATTTTGATAAAATGTAATCCCCTAGTAAGACGCGCACCACATTTTTAGTTTCTAAATATGCATTATTTCAAAAAGAGAACGCTTAAATTTGAATTTCGACATGAATTGATCTGGAATTTTCATTTGTTTCTATTTAAATAGGTTTTCCAGTTAAAAGTGGTCCAATATGTCTCATTAGAACCAAATAAAATGCAAACCTGAACTTCTACAACTTTTCAAAAATCTGTAGCCGCCTATGAAGCGCACCCCGTTTTCCCCCTCGATTTTGCGAAAAAAAGTTGCGCGTGGTACTCAAGTATACAGTATACGGTATTATCGTATTTACATGAGTACCACGCGCACCTTTTTTCTCAAACTTGAGAGGAAAAAAGGGGGGTCGCATCACAGACCAACTTTCGAGAGAAAAATCAGGCTTTCGTAACTAAATTTCTCGGTTTCGAGCCGCAAATGTTCTCAAAAGTTGTAGACGATCACGAAGACCTCACTCACTCGTAAAAAAAACGATCAGGGATGAAAAATCTTATTGTTCCTTAATATGCAACAATCGAGGTGTTTTTAATCCCAGTCCGTCAGAACCAAGAATTACGCGGTTTCGGCGAGATTCTTCGTCGTCTTCATCCTCGCGGTCTTCCTCAACTACTGCGTCTTCCATGGTCAGTGAGTCGTCTTCATCGACTCCTCGGAGGGCATTGAGAAGTGGTGGCAGTGTTGAAAGTCTGCCTCTTGCCTCCAAACCGACGCCAAAGGATTCCAACTCTGTAAAAAAGGCTTCGAAGCAATCGAAAGACAATAAAAGCAAAAAGAATAGGTGAGTGTATCTTCGCACGCTTGGGATCAGTAAGGGTTAAAAGGAAAATATAAAAAAATTGCATGAATATTTTCTGCCTTGGCTCAGCTCGCCGGTTACCCAGAAAAAGCAGGAAGATGTGGTACCCAAGAAAATCGACGTGAAATCCAGCAATCAGAAACCAGTGACGCGGCGTGTGGCGTCACTGGTCGTGGCGGATGAGCCGTCGCGTAAATTACGCGGCTCGTCACAATCTGTCGCGGAAAATCCCAGAGTTTCAAAGTTGAAGCGCCAGGCCAGGAGTGAACCGGGACGCAAAGGGGACGCCGTCGGTGCCGGTGCTGGTGGTGGTGGTGGTTCAAATGCGGCGAATCTCGATTCGCGGCGGAGTTGTGGGCCCAAAAGCGGGGATTTGCGCAGTCGCAACACCAACAACAAACCCAGTGAAGTGGCGAAATCGATTGCGAGCAGAGAACGGAGTTCAAGTGAGAGTGAAAAAAGCGAGGAATCGACGCTGTTGAAGCGACCGTCGCGGAAAAGCAAGGAAGCGTGTTCCACGTACATGGAGGTGATACTCAGTCGATTGTCTGCGCCGGATGATGATATCGACGAGATTTCTCTAGCTGACATCGGCACAGGTATGTTGAAAATTGTTTCCTGGGTTTTCCCCTTCATTCCTTTTTGTTGTAGCATTTTCTTTCAAATCTGCACTATTTGACAATTATCTGCGTGGCATTCAGAATAAACTTCGTCGTTCTGCGGTAATTATAGAAAATTATATTTCTATGATGCGACAATCTAGATTATTAAAATTTAGAACTGACTCTAGAAAAATCAAAATTTATTTTTGAGGCGTTTCAAGCATCAAATCAAATCGAAAGGATCGGGGGAGAATCGGAAATTGAAATTCTTTCCATTTTAAAGTTAAACTTGTTAGTCAATTAAACTTATGAGTTATTTTTTCCGAGAACAATTTCTAGAAAAGAAAAGTTTGCTATATTTTATAAAATCACGACGAGCTTGAGAAACGGATCAAATTTCGGAATTTTTATCCGAGAAAATATTGCTTCCCGCGTTGTCTCCGTTAGTAAATTTCAAGCGGATATTTCGAGACTCGAGAGGCCAATGTATTTTCGTAAGGCTTCGGGGAAAAGGTGTTTAATTTGACGGGAGACCGTTTCAATAAATCATTTCAGGGGTTCCCTGCTGTTTTAAAGCTAATAAAATCGTGTTTATCGCCCATTGAGTAAGCTTTTGTTCAACGATATTATTTCAAATGCTAATTCATCTTCAACGAGTGTACCGCTCGTAATACTCGGTCACATTCCCATAGCTTTTGATTGTGATTTTATTATTTGACGTTCAAGAATTTGTGTATCCCCAAGGCGTTACAGAAACACGTTTTTCCCCGCCTTTTTATTCAAGACTATTCAGATTTCAAGCGCGAATCTACGAAAGAGTTTGAAACTGTTCCGGCAAAGTCGGAACCGGCGGAAGAATCCGTAGGACCCAAACGGGGTTCAGCAACGAGGTCTTCCTCCTCCTCTGCATCATCATCATCAATCAAGTCGGTCGATAAACGAATCCCTTCGCAAAAACCTGAAGAGCATCAGCAGAGGAAAAGTTTGAGACGTTCTAAGTCGGCTGATAAAGGAAAAGCCTATGCGGAAACCGATTCTAGCGATTCCGAGGCGTCCCTCGCTGTTGATCCCGATTACTCAGTGACAGCTGGTTCGAACGTCGACAGGCGTGGCTCAGTTGTTGCCAAGCGAAGTGCCAAAGCCGGCTCCGACGGAGACTCGACGGCGTCGTCGGACTCTGACGAAATTCTCAAGCCTTTTGCTGCTCGACGATCGTTCAATGAAATTTTTGAAAAACTGCGGAATGTCCCGCGACCGTTTTTGAAGAAGGAGTCCAAGTCGAAGCCTGACCAGGCGACGCTCAGTGAAGCCCGGCGAAATCTAATCAAATCCAAAGAAGCGGAAATTTTTACGGAACATAAATCCAAAAAGAAGCCGAAATCTCCGTCAGTTGCTGGTTCGGAATCTGACAAGGTCAAGTTGGAGTCTAAAACTCCGAAGAAGGCCTCATCCGACGTGTACGAGTTCACGGATTCGTCCCCTGTGAAGAAAGAATCGAAGCCGTCTTTACCGAAACCAGGTCGGAAGGAAGTCGTCGCGTCGAAACCCGATATTCCTGCGCAGAAAAGCAATTTGAAATCGCCGAAGGGAAAAGCTGTTGACGTCAAGGCCCCTGAAGCAGCGGAACCCGGAGAAGGGTTGGAATTATCTAAAGCACCGATCTATCGTCCAACGAGCGAAGAATTCAATGATCCCATGCAATACATTTCGAAAATTGCTCCTGAAGCCCAACGCTATGGCATGTGTTGCATCCTGCCTCCGAATGATTTCAAGGTGAGTCCAGTTTACAAATTTTTATCTTCGAATCCATCGCTGATGACGAGTGCTTTTTTCTACTGTACTGTTCTGTATTACGGTAATATTGGTCAAAATAATTGCAGTATTCGAAGTACTGTATTTGGTAACTTGCCTGATACAGGTTGACGCCCTCTACTACGATTTTCTCTGTACCTGTACTATGTAATGATTGTTTTGGCCCATTGGCTTTTCTAATAATGTTATAGGGGTTCTCTGCAGCAGTTCTTTATGAATTATGAGCCTTTGCATTCCGTTGTAGGGAGATTACACCGGGATAGCTCCTGTATTCATTGTCCCCTGTCCTATTCTGTCACACAAAAAATGGCCTCAGTGCAGATCCCTGAAATCAAATTGTGATTGAACCTTTATTTTGAGGAGATGAACGAAAGATTTAATTGAACGGAACACAAGTATTATTACAGTCTGCTGGCATTTTTTCATTTTTTTTGCCAAGTTGAAAAAGAAAATGTTGGCTAAGTTTTGTCATAAAAAATAGAAAATTCTGCCAACGTCGGTAGCCGAATTCGATTAAATGTTCATCATTGAGTTTCTCAGCGTTTTAATGTAGGAAAGTTTTCAGTTTTTTGTCACACAAACATTTGCTCGTCATGTGAATGTAGTACAGTATAGTAAAGTTTAGTGTACCGTTAATGTACCATAACCCGGTGATCACTTTTGTTGTATTTTTTGCCGAAAATGACGGGGTTTTTGGTAATTACGGGTGGTCAGAAACGTTGAATAAACAGAAATTCCAATTGTAAAATATTTTTTCACCGAGTCTCAATTTCCTATAACAGTGTTGACTTTTATATGGCTACTTGAATCGAAGTTTGAAACGTAGAATTTCGAGGCCCAGAACAACGTTCGAGACTTCTGTCCGCTTCTCTTGTGGGATGGTTCAGAACGTGATCAATGACAGCAAGTTACGTTTTGTGTAATTTCCACAAAAAAATGAATGTATTATTTTCCTTTGGTCGTAATAGTACTGCAATTTCTTCGTTCGTCTTCGGAATAAAAATTTTGATTTATTGTTGGAAGTCTTTGTTACTTCTTTCGGTTAGTTCAAACGTTTGAATCTTTCATTTGCATAAACAGCCGGACTGCAGCATGCATGATGACATGCGGTTCATGGCGTACAATCATTACGTTCATAAAATGTACCGACGGTGGAACGCCGTTTCGAAAACCGCTGCGGCGATCTTGAAGACCCTGGAGAAAAGCAACATCACCGTTGATCATATGCCCTGGGTGAGCCGTTGGTCTTCATCATCCTTCCTTTTTCTTTTCATTGTTTCTCCTGGTATTGCCTCAAACAGGTTGTTGCGAGGGGAATCGCGAATAACTTTGAGATGAAGCGTAGGTGCAGCTTGGGGGAAAGATTTTCGGAAATGAATTCTCTGCGAAATTATGTATGAAAACTTAAAAAGAGTTTTAGGGGTTTTTTTTTTCGTCGTCTTATCAGAATTTTTACTGCGCTTTAAGGGCGACCATAACCTCGTTGTAAAAGACTTTTTCCAGATTGCTTTGAAATCATCATCGCTTTTTCAATACAGTATTTGAAAAAGCGATGGAAGTTGAGGAAGTTAATTCTTCGCGTTTCTTGAATAATTTTCGGAAATTTCAGACTCGAGGGAATAGAACAGGCCTTTGTTTGCCAAGAATAATTTTTATTTCCCAATTGACCTTCCTTTTATTTCCCATTTGAAATTGTGAGAATTTCATCGACCCGAAAAGTGTGTATAATTCAAAAATATTTTTTCTCTTCAAAGAGGAGACAGTGGACTGATATAAATCTGCGAAATTAAAAGAACGAGACATTTTGTGAGAATACCGTAATCAGTGAGTGAGTGGGCGAGGAATGAATGAACCTTTTTTATGTTCGCTGATTTTTTGCTTATCGTCCTCTGAAGACTTCGGAAAACGAAAAATTCCCTCTTTTTTTTTTTTTAGCTTTCTGGAGGGATTTATTTAGATCAATTATATTCACTCTTATTTTTGATGGCAAATTTACCATCAAGAGAAACGTTCTTTAAATATAATTTTTTTTGTTTCGTGCAAATGTTAAAAACCAGATTGGTGGGGTCGAAGTAGACCTTGCGGCGTTACACAACGCGGTCCAAAGCTGCACGGAATTAACCAAAGTCATGGACCCGAAAAAGTGGGCTAAAGTTGCCGACAAGTTAAACATCCCGTCAACTGTGGCCGGTCGAGCAGACAAGCTCGACAAACTCTATTGCAAATACGTGCTGCCATACGCATTTCTCACGGCGTCCGAGCGAGCGACGATTTACGCTGAGGTCGAGGCGGAGTACAAGGAAAGGCTGGCGGCGAAAATCGAGGAGGCTCAGAAGAAAAACGACGCCGATTTATACGCTAAAGACTGTGACGACGACGAGGACAGCAGTGGGGAAGATGAAAGCTTGGAATGCGTGGTCAAGGTCGGTTAATTTTTTTATCTATTCCTTCGTCCCCTTACGCTCACATGTTGACTTAGATTAGGAAGTGTCGGAAGATATTCTGATTTCAATACCAGGGCATTTTCCAATGACCGTAAAAGTTAAAAAAAAATTCCAACTCGAATGAGAGGTCAACATTTGGCTTTTGAATGATGAACGATTTGTTTAGGCTTTCATATTTTGGTCATTGAAAGAAAACCTATTGCTGGAAATAAAAGCCAAACACTTACAAAACTGCTTCATCTAAATTTAAAAAATAAGTAAATGGAAAGCTGACATGAGATTGAAAGATCCGCGTATTATTGAGTACCGTAAAGAGTAATGTACTGTACTTCATTTATTTAAAAGCTAAATTGATGTATTTTAAATTTCTAGGAGTATGCACATTTTTCATGTAAGCATGGCTTTAAAGTTGATTCTCATTTTTGTTGGTTTTCATGTCCGCCAAGGTGAAAAGAAAAAAAAACTATCCTGGATCATGTTGGAACCATCAGCACATTTTTCGAGTTGGTCCGTATCAATGAAAAGACAAATGATTCTTTACTTCACTTCTCGTGAGCCCTTTTCCAGAAATGAACCCAAGCTTGATTTAAAGCCTCTTAATTGAAAGACTCAAACGCTATCCGCTGGATTACCTTTTTTTTTGAAGAGCACGAAAATCAAGTTTGGAAGCTTGAACACTGTAATAGAAAGTCATCTTGGCGAAGAATAACTGAAATTTATTGTATCAGAACTTCCGTAACGAATAAGAATTTGCGTATTCGAATCTATTTTAAAGCGGATTTCGAACGCGAAGTAAATCCGAAAATTTTGGTCCGATCTGAAAATGCCAAATAAATAAATCTGTGAAGACTGGGTTACTGAATTTTGACTCTTATGAAAGCTTGATCCACGATTTGCAATCGTACTTCATGCAGTATCAAAGGATCCAAATTAGATACAAGCAGTCTATTTAATGCTGTGTTGAAATTGATCAGTTGTGAAGCCTACTGTGGTGAGCCTCATTTTGTTCATGAAAAAATGCAATTTGCTGACCTTGGAGCTTTGACGAACTGCAGACGTCATTAGAAAGGAATAAGAATCCATTATGTCGGCGCATTGTAACATCTCAATTGGATTTTAGTCTACAATTAGCATGTTCAGAGCGTTGAACGCAGTTTGAGCACGTTAAACCTGAAAAGGGAACGATTGGTAAACTCAAGAATATCTTTCTATATTTATTGAATCAAGGAAACGTGGACTTGAATTTGGATGAGAAAAATGTGAAATATTCGTCCGAAACTTGCTTTTATGTATATTAAATGCACAATTCGCTGAATTCGATTTCACAAGAAAATGCACGTGTAGAACGATTTGAAAGCACGCAGGAACGGAAGAAAAAATCATTTAGCAAATTAAAAAATTAAAAATCCGAATATCTTTCGATAGGTTTACGAAATCCCACAAACTTCGTCCTTGAGAGGTTGATTTTCAAAAAAATTAACCTCGGAAAATAAATTTGGCATATGCCTCAAGAAATTAAATAAAAGGAAACTATTGATTCAAGTGAAGTTATAGCCTGTAAAATTGTTTCCAATTTTGGGTAATACAGTTTCGAAAGAAAGTGCTTCGAAATTGTTGCTGAGATGTTCAGCATCGCGTTCATATTCTATCTGTTCCAAGGTCGTAAAGCGAAAAATTCGGAACACCATTTCTATTTTTAAAGATGTAAACTTTTCTGTTTGAATGCGTACCTTAACCGCCTCGGCAAGTTACGATTTTCGAAATTTCTCATGAAATTAGCCCCTCTTCTCGAGTATAGCATACTTTTTATTCGAATGGTACGTAGAAGAGCTCATGATCTTCTTCATGCAGTTTCTAAGAAAAGAAAAAAACTTTTGCGATTTGTAAATTGGATCTCGTGATTAAATATCCCAGCTTTGAGACAGTTCAGCTAGTGTAAAAACGTAATTGTTTCAATTTTCCATTTGCTGTTTTTGATAAATATGTTCTCACTTCTATTGCCTCCCGTTCCGGAGATTCTTAAAATCTCTGGAAGTTGTCCAGAGTTAAGTTACTACGTTGAAACAAATTTGAGGAAATTTTCCTCGTCCATCGTATCGAATTTTCTCAACAGAAAAGACTTCGTTGTCCGAAGTCAGGCTTTGCATGATTGCACCTCAAATGTGGGAAGGGGACACATTTATTCTTGATGCTGAGTCGCTTGGCGAGGCTTGGGTCTGCGAAAGGCTAAACGGGTTCCCTCTGCCCAGAGGGCTCAGTTGACTGATCTGACAATAATGGTTGTTACGTTTAAATGAGATCCATGTACAGTATTT